TTGATTACAATTGGATCTTCAGCTCGGTACACTGAGCATTGTCTGCAATTGATATGCTGAGATATTTATACTGGTATGAACGAAGTGGACCAGCCTACAATAGATTATATCGTCCGTCCGTTTGTCCGTCCGTCCGTGTAGCAACATCGCCCCCTACTGCAAACACTTGGCATGACCCTACAAAAACCTTTAGACTCAGTGACGCTTTCCTGGCTAAACAAGTGTAACATTCCCTTATAATTCCCTCAGATAGCTTTTAATTAAAACATTTAAATTAAAATTTAACTCACAGCGCCATAAAGCCTACAGCTAGGCCTAAAGCCTCAAACTACGCCCTCAAACTCTCCCTTCGTATCGTACCCCCGCGTGTGTGCAAGGGAGTTAATGTTTAACAATGTTACATTCCCTGATGCTTTTAAATAGAAACATTTAAATTTAAAGCTTTTACATAAATAATAAAAACATTAAAATTTAAAATTAACTCACGGCGGCATAAAGCCTACAGCTAGGCCTAAAGCCTAGAACTAGGCCTCAAACTCTCCCTTCGTATCGTCCGATTAGGTGTAGCAACATCGCCCCCTACTGCAAACACTTGGCAGGACCCTACAAAAAACCTTTAGACTCAGTGGGGCTTTCCTGGCTAAACAAGTGTAATAATACATTATGTTTATATTCTTTGGTTATTCGTTCCTACCAGCCTTTCGTGACTGCGGGGATTCATCTTCTTGGTTCTTTCGGTAAAGTCACGTAGAAGGGAAATAATAAAGTAATAAAAATAAAACATAATCAATTAAAATTCTCACAACGTTTCGGCCACAACGCAAGCAGCCGTCCTCAGGTGAAGAAACAGAGCTGTTCGGAAAGACAGCGCTCCAATGAACACTGCTAAGCTTGGCAGCGTATTTAAGCTGGGTGGAGGAGCAGAGCGCCTTGACAAAGGAGTTTACATATCAACAGAGGAATTTAGCATAGAAGTAGCTATGATAATGTGAGATTAGCATGATGTTAAAGTGATAAATTAGCATGTAAGCTAATCTGTACACTCGACGGAAAAACAAGCAACGTCAACCAACGAGAAACGACACTAATAATCGTTGATTCCGTCGATGCCACGGCCTTGAGTCGTGACAAGCCATCGAATCGCTGGGGTGGGTGGTAGCGTTGGTGGTGAACCGTCGTGCCCATTCCACCTCCGCACACGCCACACTCCCGCCACGCCGGTCGTCGCAGCTTGACGGAACGTGCCGCGCTTCTCCCATTCCGCAGGCGACGGAGCTACAGTAGATCGCGCTCGAGGTCCCCGCGCTACCGCCGGAGGTCTCGCTCCGCCTCGCCGCGCGCCGCTGCCGCCTCCCCTCGCCGCCCGCGGGATCGCTCGGAGCGCTCCCGCAGCAAGACTCCTCCGTGCGTCGCTCGCTCACCTTGCACACCTGTGACCTAGTGACCCCCACGCGGCCGTGACCTCCTGTGGCTAGCTGTGACCTCCTGTGGCTAGCTGTAACCTCGTGACTCCCCGCGGCTGTGAGTTGGTGACCCTCCGTAGCCGTTACCCCGTGTGACCCCCCCTCCCGCATGCACGTGACCTGTGACCTCACGACCCTACTCAGACGTAGCTGCTCGCTCATGATCGCACACCTGTGACTCCCCGAGTACACGTGATACCTCGTGACCCTCTACACCTGTGACACCCTTGCCAACACACACTTGTGACTTAATGACCACGCACATCCGTGTTGCCCGTGCGCTCGTGATACCCACAATCCCCTCTAGCCGTAACGACAGAGCTGCCCTTGCTGTCCACTCTGCACGATGAGTCTCGGGGCAGCGTCGATGAGTTACCGGGGCAGCGTCGATGAGTTACCGGGGCAGTCCCCCGGGGCAGGTGGGGCAGCAGCACCCCGAGTCCCAGTGGGATCCAGAAGGCCAAGACGACGCCGACACACGCCAGTGACGTGAAAGCTGCGCTTGCTTGACGGTAGCGTGACGTGGCGCTGTGTGTGCCGCCCCCCCTCCCCCCCGCAGGTCGCAGGCGTCTGGATTGGGCGGTGGCCACGTGCATCCCGACCACCGGATCAACGAGGAGAACAAGGGGCGGCAACTCATGCTCAAGATGGGTGAGCGCCCGTCGCAACATCGTCACTTTATACGTATCCCAGCAGCCCGTGCGTCCCTTGGACCTTGACCGGTGAGCAAATATAGTATCATGAAAGCCAAGTATCAATCCACTGCTGGATGAGGAGCCTCCTCTGAACTTTCCCATGCGAGTCGTGGGATGTTGAGCGACCGGGCGTGGCGCTGGCCACCCCCCCCCCCCCCCTCGCGCGCCGTGCCGGCCACAGTAGCTGCTCGTTCATCATCACTTTGTTGAGGCTATACGGAGGGGGGGGGGATCTTTGTTCTTGTGTGTCCGTGTGCGCGGCGCAGGCTGGAGCGGGGCCGGTGGCCTGGGCGCCAACGAGCAGGGCATCCAGGACCCCATAAAGGGCGGGGACATTCGGGACCGCTGGGACCAGTACAAGGGCGTAGGCATCCCCCTCGATGACCCCTTCGAGAGCTTCCGGCGCAGCAAGAGCAGCACTTTCATCGCGCGCATGAAGGCTCGCGTCGACGACCGTACGTAGCGGCGCGGGGCGGGAGGGAGGGGCGGGAGGGGCGGCTGCTGGGTTACCGGTCCGCGATCCGCGCTTCGATTAGAATTCAGCCTTACGCCCAGGACCCCCAAGCTTTGCGTAGTTTGTCTTGTGTTAGTGTCCGCGCTTCGATTCCTCCCCCCATGTTGAGCCAAGCAGCAACGACTTAGTTTCGTCTCGATCCACGGTGCATTTACCACCAACACGGTGCATGTCACAACACCCTCACCCACTCGCTCGCCCACACTCACCACACTGCAGGTCACAACACACTCACCCACTCGCTCACCCATGCTCACCACACTGCAGGTCACAACACACTCACCCACTCACTCACCCACGCTCACCACACTGCACGTCACAACACACTCACCCACTCGCTCGCCCACGCTCACCACACTGCAGGTCACCTCGCTGATCTTTCTGCTTCTTACCCTGTACTACTCCACTTGAAAATTCGTTTTTCGGTATTCAGGAATCGTATTGACTCCGTTCTCCTGCAACTTTAATGGTGCCGCTTGTCGCTGACCGCTTTGCGTTTTGGGCTTTTGGGTCTGTGATCAGCAATCTTCCATTATTCACGTAACAATATATTTAGTTTTCATTTGTCGATCACCGAGGTGTTGGCGTCATCCGCGCTGCGCGCGTAACGTTTATCTCTTGTGCCGTTGCAGCTACCGCCCCCCCTACTCCAACCACGGAAGCGGAGGTGAAGGAGTGAGGAGGTGAAGGAGTGAGGAGGTGGAGGAGTGAGGAGGTGGAGGAGTGAGGAGGTGAAGGAGTGAGGAGGTGGAACGCGTGGACATGGTCACGACACCACGGGCCTGTGCACGGGCAGCCCGACGGAGAATCGCACACACACTAACATCCCCCCATGAAGCCTTCTCAGACCGGGGCAAGTTCAGTTAGTACCGAATAAGACCGGCACGGCACATGAGGTGGGCGGGTGGCCAATAACACGCCCGGCCGCATTTTGTCTCCCCGGTTCCGATCATTGTTAACACATTGCACCAGGTACTCATTTAAAGCTGAGTTGACCTAGGGGAGGACCAGCACCGGTTCAGGTATCCGCCACTGATATTGGCCGTGAGCGGGAATCTAACGCGGGTTGCAGGTTTTGTTTGTGGAGTGCGCTAACCACTCCACTGCTGTTCCCCAAAACACAACCCACACACATCCACCACTACATGTCCACACACATTACACACACAAATCCAGACATAGTGACGAATCCACCAACACACAGGTGCAACCACATATCTACCCACACGTACGCCCACCATTTCAACGACAGTTTTTTTTTCGGGAGGCGGTGAGATTTTGTACAAAAATTAACGTCTCTGTGCATGAAATGTTCAGGGACGAGAATCCAACCCTCACCCTGGACGAGCGGGGTTTGCCGAGTGATCGTTTCTGCCATTTGGAGCGCGCTGCGTCGTGTGTTGGCACGCATGGCGCCACGGTGGCTAGGAGATGTTAGCTACCTCGCCTGGTATACAGAAGTCTGTGGGTTCGATCCCGACCTTGACGCCTGCTGTATATTTGGAGTTTGGATGTTCTCTCACCCCTTGGCCGTGGGGATTTGTCTCCGGGTCCACCGGTTTTTTCCGCCCGCGTTCAGAATCGACATGCGTTGGGACTATGTGACCGCTGTAAATGTCCAGGAGATGAGCCGCTGCGTTGAGCTGTAATTTGTGATGGACGAGGTCGCTTCTGAAAAATAGCTCAGTGGGGCCTTACCTGGTAAAATAAAACAAATATTCGTACTTGACATTGTTTAGTTAAAAAGGCGCATTGGGTGGTACCAATTTTCGATGTGGCCCACGGCCTGGCTACTGCGTGCGTGCGTTTGTGCCCAGTGGGGTGGTTTGCGAGACGGAGGTGGGTTGTGGGGGTGCGCGTGGCCGTGAGGGGGGGCGCGATGGGTCTTGTGCCGCGATGGAGCACCGGGTACCCACAACGCCTGCGGTTTTGTATTAAAGCATTGGGGTCGTTTCACCGAGATGCTACGTGTCTCTCATTCGGTGTGCGCACATCGCGCTGCGGGTGACGAGCGTTCTGGTCACTCTGTGGACAAGCTAAGCTGGTCCTCTGTGAGGACAAGCTGGTCCACTCTGTGAGGACAAGCTGGTACTCTGTGAGGACAGCTGGTCACTCTGTGAGACAAGCTGGTCACATCTGTGAGGACAAGCGGTCACTCTGTGAGGACAAGCTGGTCACTCTGTGAGGACACTCTGGTCACTCTGTGAGGACAAGCTGGTCACTCTGTGAGGACAAGCTGGTCACTCTGTGAGGACAAGCTGGTCACTCTGTGAGGACAAGCTGGTCACTCTGTGAGGACAAGCTGGTCACTCTGTGAGGACAAGCTGGTCACTCTGTGAGGACAAGCTGGTCACTCTGTGAGGACAAGCTGGTCACTCTGTGAGGACAAGCTGGTCACTCTGTGAGGACAAGCTGGTCACTCTGTGAGGACAAGCTGGTCACTCTGTGAGGACAAGCTGGTCACTCTGTGAGGACAAGCTGGTCACTCTGTGAGGACAAGCTGGTCACTGAGGACAAGCGTGTCACTATCGTCGTCGTGGGTACGGGATGAAGGCCCCCGCTCCCTGTCGCCATGTCTCCGTTCAGAGGACTGATTTTTGTGTGTTTATTGTAACTTTTTAGTGTTTTAGTTTATTTTACTTATTGTGCTTTAGTTTTGTACTTTTAGTTTATTGTACCTTTTTGTGTGTTAGTTTATTGTACTTTAATTTTTTTAGTTTATCGTACCTTTTTGTGTGTTAGTTTATTGTACTTTAATTTTTTTAGTTTATCGTACCTTTTTGTGTGTTAGTTTATTATCTGTACGCTGGCGTGGAAGAAGTCCCAACGCGCAGAGCTGCACAACTTCTCTTCGGCACGCGAGGTGATTGCGATCGCTCCGTCTCCCACGTGTGAGCGTCCCCTCTCTCTCTGCAGTGCATTCTCTCTCGTGGCCGTCCGCACCGCGCTTCGCCAAGATGATGCCTTCTTGCGTTCGCTTCTCCGATGCACGTAGGTCACTGGCGGAGCCAGTGGGGGGTGGTAGTGCCCCCCCAATGATCCGATCGAAATCCCCCTCATTTAGATCGGATCATTGGGGTTTATTAGTAATCGGCATTTTGCGACCCGCACTGCCACTGTGTAGCATATTACTCCGTGCCAGGGACTGAGATGATAGCACAATAGTCTTGAGTCCATAATTGGCAATAAGTAAGGGCAAAGCGGCTATAAGCGACTCACAGAATAGTGCGCAGTTGCGTGTCCAGCCCACGATTTCCCTGAAGGCTAGATTTGAAGCTTTCGTGACTGCAAGGATTCAAATTCTTAGGTTTTTTCGGTAAAGTCACGTAGGTAAAACATCTAAATTAATAAAAATAAAATAAAGATCTTTATTTTATTTTTATTAATTTTTTATTAACATCAAAATTAATAAAAATAAAATAAAGATCTTTATTTTATTTTTATTAATTTAGATGTTTTACCTACGTGACTTTACCGAAAAAACCTAAGAATATGATTCCCTGGCGGCGTCAGCAGCTGCAGCGAGCGCGATGCCGATCACACGACGCGGCTCCAATTCCACCCTCAATCGATGGCCGCGCCATCGCCGCACACGCGTCGAATGAAAAGCCAGGGACAAGTCGTCACTCACTAACAACTCCTCTATCATTTCTCATTGCTGGAGGGGCTGTCCCCCCCTCTACCTGAAAATCCTGGCTCCACCATTGCGCTTCTTTCGCACCGTACGTAGCTGACCTACTTGTTGGAGATGCGGGCGAGGGACAACAAACTCGACACAAAGTGAGTTCCGCAGAAACGAGTTCGTCCATCTGGATGATGATGATTTTAAAAGTTCTGTAGCTCCACTGGCTTCCGAATATCGGAAGGAAGAGCGTTCCAGACGGCCGCAGAGGCGCATGTGAAAGGGCCGAGAGATGCGGTGTCTGTGCGATGGCTGATCTGATACAAGCCTCTCTCTTCATAGGGGCCGTCCATAAATGACGTCACGCGATTTTGGACGATTTTTGACCCCCAACCCCCCTCGTCACACGGCGTCACAAAGTCAGACGCCCCCTCATATGACGTCACAAAGCTCTGCCCCCCCCCCCACAAAACCATATTTTCATTTTGAAAATAAAACACGCTTCAAATCGCTTTAAACTATTGTCATTGTAGTGCGTATTTAATGTGGCGCTGCACTCTGATGTTGTAGGAGATAACATTAAAGTACATTTAATTAAGTAGAACGTGTCTATATTTAAAGTTGCGCATTTTCATGTGACGTCACATTTATCACCCCCCCCCCTATGTGCGTGACGTCATTTATGGACGGCCCCATAGGGCTTTGTTTCGATGGAGCGCGGTGAAATATTTGAATGAAGGAATAAATCTGGGAATAGGGAAGAAGTCGGTAGAATATCGGAGCAGTTGGAGATAATCGAGTGAAGACACCGGAAATAATAAATCGATCGCATGTGCTCCTGAAGCAATGAGTAAAGTAATCGATGAGCCAATGACAGAATGGTGGCTACGGCTGCTTGCACGGCGATTTGCGGGGACGAAATCGGCCTCAGGCCTCACGTCCTGCTGCAGACGTCGCTTATCCGTGCTAGGAAATGTACCGCCGTCGCCTATCCGGGCCAGTAAATCTAACGCCGTCTCACGGCCGCCGCGTATCCGCTCCAGTAAATCCAATCGCGATGCTTATCCGCACTGGGAAATAAAACGCTTGTCGCGGCCGCCGCGTATCCGCTCCAGTAAATCCAATCGCGATGCTTATCCGCGCTGGGAAATAAAACGCGCTTGTCGCGGCCGCCGCGTATCCGCTCTAGTAAATCCAATCGCGATGCTTATCCGCGCTGGGAAATAAAACGCGCTTGTCGCGGCCGCCGCGTATCCGCTCCAGTAAATTCAATCGCGATGCTTATCCGCGCTGGGAAATAAAACGCGCTTGTCGCGGCCGCCGCTTATCCGCTCTAGTAAATCCAATCGCGATGCTTATCCGCGCTGGGAAATCAACTGCGTTGTCGTTGGGGGCCACGGCAGCCAATCTGCGCCGTCCGTGTGGCGGCAGCCGTCACGCGTTTGTGGTTGACGGCGGTGGTGGTGGTGGTTGTTGCTGCTGCTGCTGCTGGTGGTGGTGGTTGTAATTATTGTTGTGGTTCTCAGCCCTCAGTGTTACTGTCGTCGTCGGCGGCGGCGACGATGATGAAGGCCGCGCTGACTGTGTGGCTCACGGCGTCGTGGGCAATGGCCGAGGTCTTCTTCGAGGAGAGGTTCAGCGACGGCGGTGAGATCGCGTCACGCACTCGTCCGTCCGTCCATTCATTCATTCGGTCACCGATCGATTGTTATCAAATAGCTTCGTTCGCTCGTCGATTAACTCGCTGCCCTTTGTTCGCGTGCTGACCGAGGCGGCGGCGTCGTTTTCCCGCCAATTAAATCCCCTCAGGTGCGATGTAACGGGCCCGAGCGAATCCCCTCACAATAACAACAATTATTATTGTTCTTATTGTTGTTATTCCTTAGCAGTTTACGTCGTCCTTCTACGTACGGGGAATCATAAATGTGATTGGTAAATTGTGTTGTTGTTTATTCCGATGTTTTCTCGCTATCTAACCCGGTTTAGTGAGGGGTTAGAGGCGCAGGCCTGCAAGTGCCGACTCACGCCCTGCTCTAAGAGAGTAATTGGCCTACTCTTCCACGCAGGTCCACGCGTCATTAAAATTTATCTTCGCAATTGTGAACGAGCGTGCTCGATCAATATGCGTATTGATTCACCTGCGATCGCCCACTGAGGCACAATATTAGAGTTGTATGATATAATAATGTCGTTTATAAATTGGGTAGTTTACACGAAGCATTTTAGGCCATTGGAGAAGATTTGGCCCGTGTTGTGTTTCTTATTGTACACTCAAATACAGCATAGTACCTGTACAGTGTATGGTAATTGGTTTTTTACCCTTTTATCTGGAAACAAAACTGACACCTTTTTTTACAAGGAGTCATGTTTGCATTGACCACAATACCTGCGGTCGGAATGCAAACAAAAAACACAACTCTGATAATGTGTGAACTGTCCTTGAAATTGATTGGTCCACACCCGAGACAGCTTTTCTTAGAGCCCAGTCTCACATGGTGTTGGACCAGATGACGCCAAAAGGTGCACAACTCAAAGACAATGCACCATCAGAGTACTGGCAAAGGAGGTTCCAATGGTGTAAATGCTTCACCCCGAGCTCTCATACTCTGATGGTGCATTGTCTTTGAGTTGTGCGCCTTTTGGCGTCATCTGATCCAACACCATGTGAGACTAGGCTCTAAGAAAAGCTGTCTCGGGTGTGGACCAATCAATTTCAAGGACAGTTCACACATTATCAGAGTTGTGGTTTTTGTTTGCATTCCGACCGCAGGTATTGTGGTCAATGCAAACATGACTCCTTGTAAAAAAGGTGTCAGTTTTGTTGCCAGAATTATCATATTTTGCTACTGGCAAAGGAGGTTCCAATGGTGTACAGTGTATTTTAATGCCACTATTATTTCGCTTGTTTATCCAGAAAAGCCCTCTCTTTTTTATCATTACACGCTGTTTTATTAACTCACTCACTCTGTTGTATCCTCAAATCTTGTAACTCAATTCTAACCCACTTCCTAATGTGGTATCGACTGCAAACTTGGTATACTTATGTCATACTGATGACAATACTATATTCTATCATTAAAAATAAAAAGATATATTTTTAAACATTTTTTTTTATATGTTATGTTTCGGCTTGGGTCTAATTGTCCTCGGTCCCCTTACGTTATGGCAAGCTTCGGGGCCACTTCCTGGAGTCGTGGAGTTCTTCCATTACTAGTACGGTACATTTCATTAAAGCGTGTTTTTTTTTTAGTTTTCTAAAATATCACTTATTATCAAGAGGCTCCTGCCAAAGCTCTCGCCGTGGGTGGGAATGATCGCTAAATGTACGCCACCGAGTCAAGAGTCTTTTCAACCCGTCGGAGTTTCCGTCTTTACTTGACCGTCGTGGTCGAGAATTACGGCGAGCGGCCCAGCCAACGGGATGCAAGTGACGACCGAGAGAGATCGAGCGAATTAAATGAGCTTTCGGTAAAGTTACGTAGGTAGAAAATAAAATATAACTACGTGACCTTACCGAGAGAACCAAAGAGTATGGATTCCTGCAGTCACGAAAGCTTCAAATCAAGATTCAATGAGCTTATGTGGGCAGGTGCTGCTGGGTGGATTGCAACGTCGCGAAACCATGAGAGAGCCTAGGGGAGGAGGCCTTTATCCAGCATTGTTATTGGCCACGCGCTGATGATGATGATGGTGATGTGGATGCGCGTGTGTGTGTGTGTTGCGCATGCAGAGGGATGGCAGTCCCGCTGGGTAGAGTCCCAACACAAGTCCGACTATGGAAAAATGAGGCTCTCAGCCGGTGCCTTCTATGGCGACGCAGAGAGAGACAAAGGTTTGAGTGCTGCATGGGGCCTGGTCGTCACGTTCATCGCCATCGTCACATCATCGCCACCATCGTTGCCATGTTCATCATCGGCATTACCGTCGTCATCACAAATAAAGACAAGCTGAACGTGAGGCGGTAAAAACAACACCGAAAGAATACATTCTTGAATCGAACTACGACCCTCAATATGTCGTGAGTCGTAACTCGCCGCGCATGCGCCGCCCTTGCAGGCCTGCAGACGAGCCAGGACGTGCGCTTCTACGCCGTCTCCGCCGCGTTCCCGCCCTTCAGCAACAAGGGCCGCACGCTCGTGCTGCAGTTCAGCGTCAAGCACGAGCAGGACATCGACTGCGGCGGCGGCTACGTCAAGCTTTTCCCCGCAGACCTCGACCAGCAGGACATGCACGGCGACTCGCGATACTACCTCATGTTCGGTGAGGACGCTGGTGGCCCGGCGGATTTCTTATTTGGAGAAAATGTAACGGATCTCTGGGTTTCCATTGAAAAAAATAAGTTGCGGAACGTAAACGAGCGTATTATTCGAATGAAAATTGCCCTGTCCTTATTTAAGATAGCGATTCTGAAACTCACTACACACACCATCGAAGGCTCAATTATGATCTCTGAACATATGTAAGAAAATTAATATGTTTCGAAGGTAACGAGACTAAAAATAAAGAATAAGGCAGACGGTACAAACGAGACAAAACAATTCGATCTTGGCGTCAAACCGAAAATATATTCTGTTGCTTTGTTCGAGTTCATGTGTTATTGAGTTGACGTGTGATTGTTTCATTTCTATAACTGCATAACTTCCTCTGTAATTTTCCACCATTGCCAACCTCAGCATGGGCTGGACACCAGCTTCATAGCGCATCGGGGTCTTTCATCTTAAATGTTACATCTGTGCCAATGAATCATCATCGAATTGACGGTGAATCCTTCCGTGCCTGGTGAAAACCTTGCGAGCAGCCGCATCATTCTACGGGCACGCCACAAGCCTAAACGAAACGACGATTCGTGACCCCGAATAGTGACAAAGATCCATCGGATCGTTGCAGCGGATGAGTCGCAGCAAGCGCGGCGCTCGCTAAAGTGTGATGCCGTTGTTTGTCTCGTCGCCAAAGGCCCGGACATCTGTGGGCCGGGCACGAAGAAGGTGCACGTGATCATCAACTACAAGGGCAAGAACCACCTCATCAACAAGGACATCCGCTGCAGGGTGAGCAGACCCTAATGGACACCGCTGCATGTCGGCAATGGCTCGGTTTCCATTACAAGGGCTGATCCGGCAAAATTCATCCGGATGAACAAATAAGCTCGTCTCTGACTATATCATCCGGAAGCTCAATGGAGTCGAGGCCAGATAGCACGTTGGTCGATAACCGCCATGCTGGAAAGGTTTTGTATCAGAGGGCAGTTTAGCAGAACTTGTTGTTGTACTGTACGTTGCTCCTGCGTCTATGCTCCCAGCGTGCACCAAACTTCACTGACCAGCGTGGTGAACGATAGACGAATCGCTCCCTACGATGGGCACCATATGGGGATTGACAAAAGAACTGTACGTGCACAGTCAAGTTAACTTTACATTTAGGCAAATTAAAAGCACAAAACCGTGCAAATGAGACCAAAATAGGTGTTGAGAAACAAAACCAACGAGAATTGATTCCTTAATTGAATCGCGACGGTGAATTGTGTCGTTGTTTGCGTACACGGACGCTGCATTTGCTCGCCGGCGCACGCTTCAACGTACCACGCGGCGCGTGCGCGTGACGTCGCGTTCACTGACCCGCGCGCGCTTGTGCCTGTGTGTGGGGGGGGCGGCGCACGCAGGACGACGAGTTCACGCACCTCTACACGCTGGTCCTGCGGCCGGACCAGACGTACGAGGTGAAGATCGACGGCGATCGCGTGGAGTCGGGCAGCCTCGAGGACGACTGGGCCGTGCTGCCCCCACGGAGGGTCGAGGACCCGGCGGCCGTGCGCCCCGACGACTGGGATGAGCGGCCCTCCATTGACGACCCCCACGACACCAAGCCCGAGGTCGCTCACCCAGGAGCGGCATCACCCCCCCCTCCTACCAATCTCCTCCCGCTCCCTGCCGTGTCTCCACGTGTCTCTCTGCCTCCTGTGTCCTGCAGTCCACTCTTGTGTCTACCCATCTCAACGAACATCTCCCATCCCCTGCTGTGTTCTTCTCTCTTCTTGTTTGTATCTCCTCCTGTTACCTCCCATCTCCCGTCTTCCCTCTCGCGGCATTTAACTAATTTGTTCTTCTGCCCCCGATCTTTTGCAGGATTGGGACCAGCCGGAGCACATCCCTGACCCCGACGCCAAGAAGCCGGACGATTGGGACGACGAAATGGACGGGGAGTGGGAACCGCCCATGGTGGAGAACCCCGACTTTAAGGTGTGCGCATCATCCACCGCCACCTTCACCACAACTGCTACCACCACTACCATCACCACCACCACTTTCACCATTGCCGCCATTACCACCACTGCTACCATTAATACCACCATGGTGTGATGTCGTTAGGGTGCGTACGGTGCGGTGTGAGTGGTGTGATTTGCGTGGCGGTGCGCTGGTGCGAGTGGCCTGGCACGAATGGCGTGTTGCAGCGTGGTGCGTGCCACCGGTGCGTAGCCGACGGTCCGACTGCCCCGTTTCGCAGAGCGAGTGGAAACCCAAGCAGATCAGCAACCCGGACTACAAGGGCACGTGGGTCCACCCCAAGGTCGACAACCCGGACTTCGCGTCCGACCCCAACATTTACTATTTTGACAACATCGGGGTGCTGGGTCTCGACCTCTGGCAGGTGAGACCAATACCGCCCCCCCCCCCCACGTCCGCACGCGCAACCGTTAGCGCTACGCTGCGCTACGAACCCGGCGAGCCCAGGTCAATTCCCGCTCACGACCACCACCGGTGGCGATTATCTGCACCGGTCATGGGCCTCCCCTAGGTCAACTCGGCCTCAGATGAGTGCCCGGTGCGGTGTGTGAATGTCGCTACTGGGGAGACAAAGGCGGCTGGGCGTGGTGTTGGCCACCCACCCCCTCGTGTGCCGAGCTTGCTAACAGCACTTGCCCCAACAGTCTGTTAAGGCTATATGGGGGATCTTTTACTGGTTGGAACCTCCTGGTTACACCAGCCCACAGGGGATTATTGTGTCCGTCGTGCATGGGAGGGGTGGGGCTGGGTGGAGAGGGGAGGGTGGGGAGGGGCTGGGTGGGGCGGGGAGGGGAGGGGGAGAGTGGGGCTGGGTGGGGGGAGGGGTGGGGCTGGGTTGGGAGGGGCTGGTTACCCCGTGTGCCCTTATAAAACTCAACGTTTAACCTACTCACGCCGGCTTGTACCCGCCCTCACAGTTGCGGAATACACCACGCCGCCGTTGACCCTGGCCATTGACCGAGCAAACCAACGTTCCTACCAGCTCCCTCCGCAGGAATGTGTTACACGTGTGTGTGTGTGTGTGCGTGTACACGGCGACTGTGCAGGTGAAGTCGGGCACGATATTCGACAACTTCCTCGTCACCGACGATGAGGAATACGCGGAGGAGGTTGCCAAGAAGACCTGGGGGCTCACCAAGGTGGGTGAGGAGCCACCAAATCCATGTGCAGAGTCGATCCCTCAATGAGGGTTCTTTTTCACTGCCTTACGATTTTGAGCCGTTCGCTGTGTGTATGTTTGTTGAACTTCTTTCGCACCGTACGTAGCCAACCGTGCTAATCGGAGGTGTGGGGGAAGCTGATCGGAGGTGCTGCGCATACCTGGCCGGCAATATAAATTGCGCAAATAGCAAATGTACTTGCTCACGTGGACGGTGCCCTCAGCCTGTCTTGTTGAGCGGTACGTGCGGCCCGTTATTCAAGCCCATCGGTGTCTGTGAATGATGCGAACAAAACTGAACCCATCTCATCGTCCTCGTCTTCGCCAGGACGCGGAGAGAAAGATGAAGGAGGAGAGAAGGAAGCGCGAAGACGGTGACAACGACGATGGCGGCGACGAGGGGGACGCGACCCCCAGCAAGCGGGACCCTGACCCCGCCGAGGACAGCGAGGAGGAGGAGGACGATGACGAAGATGACGACGAGAAGGAAGAGGAGGAGGTGGAGGAGGTGGAGGAGGAGGAGAAAGATGAGGTTAAGGAGGAGGACTTGCACTCGAAAGACGAGCTGTAGGGGGAGGTCGTGAGGCAGCGGCTGGCTGGCGTGGGCCACTGTGGAGCTCACGCGCCGGTCCCAACACCCCCCCCCACTTCCCCGCAGCGAGGCTGCGTCTTGTGACAGCGCTTCCACACCTGACCCATCTGTTGCGTAACTCGGTTGCATGCAACTGCATTGCTAATGTTTGGGCATCCCTGTTGCCAGTTGCGAGCGGGTTTGCGCTACCGGCCGCTTGCAGCCGAAACAGATTCTGCTTGCAAGTGGCGGTCTGCTCGGCGCGCTTGCGAACAGGGCTGTAGGGGACACGGCATGACACGTCCTTGTTGCGCAACTGCTCGCCCAGGTGTGGACAGAGCAGTTCCAGGTGATTTAGGTTGCACGATTTAAAGTGCGATCGGTTGCGCAACGGATCGTTCGGATGTGCATGCAGCTTTGCAGCGCCACGGTTGTACACGACCGTCAATGCAATCTCTTGAGTTGCCGTCGAGTTGAACAGCTGGTCATCCTCTGTTGTCTCCGAGACCAAATTGAACAGCAAATTCCTCTGCCATAGCAGCCCAGGTGTACATAGCACTAAGCAGGCCTATCGGCCGTCTGTCCTCTGCTAGGCCAGCGAGAATTCGTGCGTCTGAATTCCTTTGCCCTCATCTCCACTCGTGCTATCAGCCACTATCCACATCATGTCGTGAGATGACGATTTTCCGATTTGGAATTGTCGCAGAGCAGGGCATCGTGAGAACGGTCCGAGGAAGGTGATACTTTCACGTGACCTCTTAACCCACACTGGGGCAGCACTGCATCTCCCCGCACGCTCTGCTTTAGAGATGTTTTTTGCATGACGGTCAAGAGATGGAATTCAGCCCAGAGAGAAAAAACTAATTTAATGCAATCGGTTTTTTTTGCAGTCATTGTTGACCAGGCTGAGGCTGTTGAAATCTAGACCCGAACCCAGGATTCTCAACCGTATCGGCTCCGTGCTGAAACCTCGGCAATTTAAATTCACAAGCGCACACGCTGTGCGGTGTACGCTGTGGTCTTCCCACAGTATCGTGCGTGGTGCAGGCGGCGGTAGGAGATGAGATCCCATCAGCAATCGGCCATGCTCAATCCACTGCTGGGTTAAAGACTCCCAGATTGAGATGAGGGGGGCGGGAATACAACCCTCCCTGACTGCAATCAAAATGTAACCTCACGTGCACTTTCCGTCGTCCGTGTTGCTTGTCCCGTGTTTATCGACGTAGCACTTTGTGAAGATGATCGTTGGGTGTCTGAGGGAATGCGACGCGGTAGTCCGTGGTCGAGGTTTCCGCTCGGCCGCTGTCAATGAGGCGTAGCAGTAGTAGTAGCTGTAGGCCGTGGCAGTGCTGTGATGGTGTTTGTTGTTTTTACCGAGCAGGCGATGCCCTGCGTTGACTGGCGGCTCCGTGCGAGACTGTGAGTGATGCCTGAAGTGCGTTTTTTCTACTCGTAGCGTGTGACCCGTGTCCTAGTGATCATAGCTGCCGTGTCTGGTCCGTACGAAACACTCAAGGCTGGGTGGTGAGAAGTTCAATGTCCTCGTTCAGAACACTGATAACACATTCCTGCGGAGGGAGCTGGTAGGAACGTCGGGATGTTCGGTCAATGGCCAGGGTCAACGGCGGCGTGGTGTATTCCACAAATATGCCCGACTGTGAGGGCGGGCACAAGCTGGTGTGAGTAGGTTAAACGTTGAGTTTTATAAGGGCACCACGGGGTGACCAGCCCCTCCCCACCCAGCCCACCCTCCCCACCCCGGCTCTCCCTGCACGACGGACGGACACAATAATCCCCTGTGGGCTGGTGTAACCAGGAGGTTCCTACCAGTAAAACTCGAGATTAGACACCAACCCCAGCTGTACCACGAGCCCCAGCACTGCACCTCGTCTGCTGGCTCCTGGAGGAACCCCCCCTGCACCTTGAATGAGACGGAGGGAGGGAGGAGGAGGGGGGCGGTACGAGGGGGTATCCCGAATGGAAAAAGAAATCTGTGCAAAAGCAAGTGCGCTGTCACGGAGAGACGGCCGTTCAGTGCTGAATCTCCGGGGCAGAATAGACGAGCAGACAGCAGCAGCGTCTCCATCGCATTCGTACAGCCGTTTCTCCTCACTCACCCACTCACTCACCCACTCACTCACCCCCTCACTCACCTCACTCGCCCCTCACCCACCCACTCACCCCTCACCCACCCACTCGCCACCTCACTCACTCGCCCACTCACCCCTCACCACTCACCCACTCACCACCTCACTCACCTACCCACCCCCTCAACCACCCCCTCACTCACCTCACCCACTCACTCACCCCCTCACTCACCCACTCACCACCTCGCTCACCCACCCACTCACCTACCTTCATCCACCACCTCACCTACCCACCCCCTCACCCACCCCCTCACTCATCCCCTCACTCACCCGTGTCTCCTCACCTCCGATTAGCATGGCTGGCTCTGTATGGTGCGAAAGAGGTTCAGCCTACATTGGCATGGCCTCGCGAGGGGGGTACCGACTAGGCCTCGTGTCATGTGCACGAGAGTGGCAGGCAGTCGGACACGAGAATGAGACGCAATGTCCCAACTGTGCCCGACCCCTAAGCTAAAACAACAAAAACCCACACAGCCTAACCAGTCTCACTGCTATTGTCCAAAGCATCGTCCCAATGCTGAAAAGTCACCTTGCAAAATTACTTCGCTTGGGTTTGCGCGCAGCAGCAACATCGGCCACCCTCTCCTGCCAGAGCCTTCACCGAGGCGTGCGACTCGGGCGAGGTTTCCCTCGGTAAACAAATCGTGATCGTGCTACTGAATCGTGATCGCCTGAGGTCGCTTCGAGCACCCTGGTGGCTTCGTATTATATTTAAAAGCGTCGTGGGGGGGGGGGGGGTCGGGCTAGGACTATTTATTATATTTATTGAACTATTTCGGCTGCATAAACCCCTCGAGATGGACACGTCTCGTTGGCAAGGGTGTCCCGGGGGGTTTTAATCGACACGACAGACACGTGACGACACGTGTCAAAGAAAAGAGCCTCCGTATAGCCTTGACAGACTGTAGGGGCAAGTGCTGTTAGCGAGCACCTATGAAGGGCGGCACGGCACACGAGAGGGTAGGTGGCCAACACCACGCCCGGCCGCCTTTGTCTCCCCAGTGGCGATGTTTACGTATCTCACCAGGTACACATTTGAGGTTGAGTCCACGTAGGGGAGGCCCAGGAACGGTTCAGATGATCGTCACCGGTGTTGGCCGTGAGCGGGAATCGAACCCGGGTCGCCAGGTTTGTAATGCAGCATAGTGCTAACCACTACACCACCGCTCCCCACAACACGTGACGTGCGGTGAGGCGTGGCCTCAGAGGGGGCGTGTTAGACATGCCCCCTCACTGAGGCAGGTGTGATAGCTGCCTCCCCTGGTGCTTTTTCATTGCAGTTTCATGACGAGACCAGCGAGCCTAAACATATGTATACACGTACGTGAAATAAGTTACCTGGAGTATGGAAGGCGAGGACATGAAATTAAGGGGTCTACAAACATTACATTGGTGACACACAGAGATAGTAACAGGCACGCGCTTATTGCCCGCGCTCCATCCAGTTTCTGAGTGGTTGCGCAATCAGAGGGGAGGCTGAGCTCGTCGCTGCCTCACCTATCGTCTCTTCCTGTATTTGCAGCGGAGCTCCGCAAATTTGGCGATTTTGACTATAAAAATTATTGGAATCGTACAGAAATGACATTCATAACACAGATCAGTGGAAAAATCTTAATTTTCTGTGTATTATTTTTTACTTTTCGTAACAGCTATTTCCTTTGGAGTACGGCAGGTGATGCTGTGCCTGCCCTGCCTGCCCTGACCGCACGTCCCTGGTGTATACACGCACACACGTTAGATGTGTTACTCTTTAGTGTGCGTTTCGTATGATTCGCATCGCACTCAGTCCCGTACGAGAATTGGTTCTTGTCACCGATATAAACCGCTCGAAACTTGTTGTCCCACTGGTGTATTAAATTATGTTGTGTACGTTACAATTGTGGGTTTTGTTTTTACCATTTGGGCGCATTGAGATTTACGGATGAAATGCGCCTTTTAACATTTGTAAATTATTGTTGCTTTGCATTCAGAATGTCTGCGTTAATGGCATCATCCTGTATGAGTTTGTTCCGACCGTATATCGCATGTGCTCTGCATTGCTTCACCCCCCTTCAACAGAGTTGTACTCAACGAGTCAATCGTCCTCGCTCTCAGCATAATCAGCCAAGGTCTATCCCCCGCTGGATGAAGGCCTTCCAAAACCATCGTATCTCCCATGATTACCTGGTGATAACTATACAGGATACTGGCCAATTTAACACATTCCTGCGGAGGGAGCTGGTAGGAACGTTGGGTTGCTCGGTCAATGGCCAGGGTCAACGGCGGTGTGGTGTTTTCCGCAAATATGCCCGACTGTGAGGGCGGGCACAAGCCGGCGTGAGTAGGTTAAACGTTGAGTTTTATAAGGGCACCACGGGGTGACCAGCCCCTCCCCACCCAGCCCCACCCAGCCCCAACCTCCCCACCCAGCCCTTCCCTGCACGACGGACACAATAATCCCCTGTGGGCTGGTGTAACCAGGAGATTGAGTAGATTAGATTTGTTTTTGATGCAGCCGTTTCACTAAAAACTGTCTGGCCTGCTGCCGTGTAGAAGGGGCTGGTGGAGGGGTACAGCCGCCGTCGATAGGTTCACGTGGCGGGGTCAGGGCTCGGACACCACAGAGAAATGCGTGAATAAAAATCTAAACTTGCTGTGCTCACGTCTTGAAGGCCTCGCAGAGTTTTGTACGCGCGTCTGATGTTTGGCCGAGACTGCTGTTCAAGTGCGGGCAGTCTTCGACTCGTGAACACCCGTACTTACGAACCGGCTGACATGAAATATACAAAATAACATCGACTTAAAATGTACAATGTTCTTATAAGCTGAACAATGCTTGTTCAACCGCAACACTTAACAACACTGGCCTATGGGCGTTTAAACACGTTGCATTATGGTCTTTCCACTTACAAACCGGTGGACTTACTAACATGGCTCAGGAACGAATTGTGTTCGTAAGTCGATGACTGCGTCTCCCCTTAGCCGGGCGGTGGTGGTGGTAGCACGCCTGGAATCCAACATTGGAGGCGAGGGTAGGTGGATCGCACAAATCTTGAGAAACTGCCATCACCATCTGCACGGGGATCGAGTGTTGCTCCCTTGCGTCACGTGCGGGTTTTCTCACGAGTGTTCTATTTTCCTCCCCACAAGTATAAACCGCTCATTCATTGTATGAAAATATCGCAGAGCAAGAACCCACTGGCAGGATCCCTCCTCAAAAAGAGTCGTGTGACTCAGTGTGGCTTCTGAATAAGTCACAAAAAAAGACTTGCCGCTTGTCATCCTGCTGCTGCTGCCCCTTGCACGGGCTGGTTGCGTGAGTCTCCGTGGCCTCGGCGAGAGTCGAAGTGCCGCGCGGTGTTCCATTTGAGGCGACGTGGGAGCCGTGCGGTGCGATGGGTCCGCACTTGATGATGGCAGGACGCGTGCCAATGTGGGTGAGTCCCGCATTGGGTCTCGGCACGGTGTTTGGAGTGGTGTCCTAGCGGAGGCCTGTGGAGTCGTGAGTGGGTGAGTGGTGTGTGGGGTGGTGAGTTGGTGAGGCGTGTTGGGTGGTGAGTTGGGGAGGTGTGTGTGGTGGTGAGTTGGGGAGTGGTGTGTGGAGTGGTGAGTTGGTGAGGTGTGTGTGGTGGTGAGTTGGGGAGTGGTGTGTGGAGTGGTGAGTTGGTGAGGTGTGTGGAGTGGTTGTTGGGGGGCGGTGTGTTGAGTGGTCAGTTGGGGGTGGTGAGTTGGGGAGTGGTGTGTGGAGTGGTGAGTTGGGGAGTGGTGAGTTGGGGGAGTGGTGAGTTGGGGAAGTGTGTTGGGTGGTGAGTTGTGGGAGGTGTGTGGAGTGGTGAGTTGGGGGAGGTGTATGGAGTGGTGAGTTGGGGGAGGTGTGTTGGGTGGTGAGTTGTGGGAGGTGTGTGGAGTGGTGATTTGGGGGAGGTGTGTGGAGTGGTGAGTTGGGGGAGGTGTGTTGGGTGGTGAGTTGGGGGAGGTGTGTGGAGTGGTGAGTTGGGGGAGGTGTGTGGAGTGGGGAGTTGGGGGAGGTGTGTGGAGTGGTGAGTTGGGGGAGGTGTGTGGAGTGGTGAGTTGGGGGAGGTGTGTGGAGTGGTGAGTTGGGGGAGGTGTGTGGAGTGGTGAGTTGAGGAGTGGTGAGTTGGTGAGTTGGTGTGTGGAGTGGTGAGTTGGGGGTGAGGTTGTTGATGCAAGTCGAATTCTGTTCACACGCGCACACAGATCTCTCTCCCGAGAGCCCGTGGAGACTGTTGGGGCAAGTGCTGTCAACGATTCACTAACGCCAGCAATACTCTGATGGTGCGTTGTCTTTAAGTTGGCGTCATCTGGTCCAACACCACGTGAGACTAGGCTCTAAGAAAAGCCGTCTCGGGTGTGGACCAATCAAGTTCAAGCACAGTTCACACATTATCAGAGCTGTGTTTTTTGTTTGCATTTTGACCGCAAGCGTTGTGGTTAATGCAAACATGATCCCTTGTATAAAGGTGTCAGTTTTGTTGCCAGGTAAAAGGGTAAAACCCTATCACTAATGCGCGTGTGGAGGCGGTGTTACCAGTACCAAGACCGACCACATTCAGCCCCACAGAGCTGGCGGTTGACACAAGGCCGAGTCAACCTAGGGGCCGTCCATAAATTACGTCACGCGATTTTGGAGGATTTTTGACCCCCCCCCCCTCGTCACACGGCGTCACAAGTCAGAACCCCCCCTCTCAAATATGACGTCACAAAGCTCTGCCCCCCCCCCCCCCACAAAAAAACATATTTCCATTTAAAAAAATAAAACAGGCTTCAAATCGCTTTAAACTATTGTCATTGTAGTGCGTTTCTAATGTGGCGCTGCACTCTGATGTTGTAGGAGAAAACATTAAAAAGTCTATTTAATTAAGTAGAACGTGTCTATATTTATTTAAAGTTGCGCATTTTGATGTAACGTCACATTTCTCACCCCCCCCCCCCTCGTCACACATCGTCACAAATGTCTGACCCCCCCCCCTCCCCTAGGTGCGTGACGTCATTTATGGCCGGCCCCCTAGGGGATGCACAGGACATTAAAACACATTCCTGCGGAGGGAGCTGGTAGGAACGTTGGGTTGCTCGGTCAATGGCCTGCAGGGTCAACGGCGGCGTGGTGTATTCCGCAAATATGCCCGACTGTGAGGGCGGGCACAAGCCGGCGTGAGTAGGTTAAACGTTGAGTTTTATAAGGGCACCACGGGGTGACCAGCCCCTCCCCACCCAGCGCAACCGCTCCCACCCCCACCCAGCCACACCCTCCCCACCCAGCCCCTCCCCACCCAGCCCCTTCCCACCCTCCCCACCCTCCCCACCCAGCCCCTCCCCACCCCCCCCCACCCAGCCCCTCCCCACCCTCCCCACCCAGCCCCTCCCCCGCACCCAGCCCCTTGTCCCGTCTCCAGCCGTCCTGGATGCGAGGTCTGGCCACACCGTGGGACATCCTCCGCCACTGACTTCTCGCGTCTTCTGCAATCCCCATTGTCTGCTGCTGCAGCGTGAGACTCGTCCACCCATTGATGTTGTCCACCAATTGTCACCCTTGTGGGTCTACCTCCAGCTCGTCAACCGGCTATTGCATCTCGCACAAACCTGGTTCCATCTTCTCTCTGGTTCTTTCTCCCTGAAGACGGACGCTTGTGGTGTTGCGACCGAAGCGTCCTGTTTTCTCTTGTCCACGTGACTTTTAGCGAAAGTCACGGACGCTTCGAATCACGAATGGTTCCATTTCGCCGCTAGAAATGTCCAAAATGATGGTCGGCCACTTTTGTTGGCTTCTGAAATAAAAAACAATGACTTAATAGCTCTTTGGTTCTTTCGGTAAAGTCACGTAGGTCGAAATATAACACTGGTCAACACACTTTTCTGGCATAAGGTATTCCAACGGTTTTAATGTAATTTGGGGTGCTGATTCCAAATCTGGCATCAGTTTTTGTCTATCACATCAGGTTTTTGAGATATAAAATATTGCATTTAAAAAAAAACTGCAGAATAAAAATATTAAATAAATGTGGATATCTACATAAAATGATATTATAAACACACTATCCTAAAAATACAGCACCATATTTTAACACTAAAGCAGTCACTGACTCGCAACAACTTGCAATCATAAGTGACAGAGTTAATTTTGGGTAAATCAATGAAAATGGGGTATGTCGATAGCATAAAATGAGATGTGATAGAGCAAATCTGAGATCAGATTTGGAACCAGCACCTTGAAATTAGAACAGCTGCAAAAGTCCAGGTGAGAATTTTATTTTTTGTTGACCAGTGTTATCGATACGACGTTTCGATCGCAACGCAGGCAATCGTCATCAGGTGGGACACCCACATCAAGAGAAAACTGCTGAAGTTGGCGTTGCGATCGAAACGTCGTGATCTATGATTTGTCTACCGATGTGACTTTACCGAAAGAAGCAGTCACGAAAGCTTCAAATCACGATATAAGTTAATAGCCTCAGTGGGGGCTTGCTGGTAGGACTGGGATGGTTTCAGAGCTGTCGACCTCTACGGTTTAGCCGTAATTCTTGCGCAGCGAAATTGAGTTTTCAGGTCGCATCGGGCAGACAGCCGTTTCAATCGGCCTAACAAAATGTGTCTCTGCGTTTGTGTTTCTCCCTTGTGATGGAACTTTGTCGGATGAACGTTGAGATTTATCAGAGGCACGGGGTGATCAATAAGATCTGATAAGGGGTTGACGGGTCTGTGGTGGTGTAGTTGTTGTCTGTGTGATTTGTTCATCTTTCTTATAGCTCATCAGATTCTTCCCCCCAGCTATAAATAAGTATGCAGATACATATTTATATGAATGAACATTGAAATACATATTTATATGAATAAACAACCATTTTTATTTATGTAAATAACCCTTCAGATACATATTTATAGCAATAAACAGATACTTATTTATATAAATATTTCCTATTTATACAAATAAACATTCAGATAAATATTGATATGAATATGCAGACAAATACTTATTTACATTTTATGTTCATATCAATATTTGTTAATATTGAGATAAAAAAATTTAATTTTTAATTTTGACTTCAAATTTTCGTGACAGTGGGAATTCATATTCTGTGGTTCTTTAATAATAAAAATAAAGTTAAAAAAAACATCACGACATTTCGACCGCTGGTGTTGCGATCGAAACGCCGTGATATTTGTAATCACTTCATTTTCATTATCATTCTTTCTAGCTACGCGACTTTACCGAAAGAAACACAGAATATTGACCAATTTTAATTTCGATTTAAATCCGGAGGGAAAAAATCCCTCTCACCTGACATGCAGCGCCGGGACGCGAAGTTAACGCCCCCACCCCCGAGTGCGCATGCGCGGCACAGTGAGTCAGGAGTCTCCGCTTGGCACCCGCCAGAGGCCTTCTCCTCACCACCTCACCTCACCACCCTCACCTCACCACCCTCACCTCACCACCTCCTCACCCTCCTCACCACCTCCTCCACCGTCACCTCGTCGTCGGCTCGCGCAAGGCCGCTCGCCATGCTCATCACGCTCAAGACGCTGCAGCAGCAGACATTCAGGGTGGACGCCGACCCCGATGAGACGGTGGGGCCTGCGAACAAGTTACACACTCACCACGTGACACACTCACCACTCACCACGTGACACACTCACCACATTCAGGGTGGACGCCGACCCCGATGAGACGGTGGGGCCTGCGAACAAGTTACACACTCACCACGTGACACACTCACCACTCACTCACCACGTGACACACTCACCACTCACCACCACGTGACACACTCACCACTCACTCACCACGTGACACACTCACCACTCACCACCACGTGACACACTCACCACATTCAGGGTGGACGCCGACCCCGATGAGACGGTGGGGCCTGCGAACAAGTTACACACTCACCACGTGACACACTCACCACTCACCACCACGTGACACACTCACCACTCACTCACCACGTGACACACTCACCACTCACCACCACGTGACACACTCACCACTCACCACGTGACACACTCACCACTCACTCACCACGTGACACACCACTCACTCACCACGTGACACACTCACCACTCACCACGTGACACACTCACCACTCACCACCACGTGACACACTCACCACTCACTCACCACGTGACACACTCACCACTCACCACCACGTGACACACTCACCACTCACCACGTGACACACTCACCACTCACTCACCACGTGACACACTCACCACTCACCACCACGTGACACACTCACCACTCACCACCACGTGACACACTCACCACATTCAGGGTGGACGCCGACCCCGATGAGACGGTGGGGCCTGCGAACAAGTTACACACTCACCACGTGACACACTCACCACTCACCACGTGACACACTCACCACTCACCACCACGTGACACACTCACCACGTGACACACCACTCACTCACCACGTGACACACCACTCACTCACCACGTGACACACTCACCACTCACCACGTGACACACTCACCACTCACCACCACGTGACACACTCACCACTCAACCACGTGACACACTCACCCACTCACTCACCACGTGACACACTCACCACTCACCACCACGTGACACACTCACCACTCACCACGTGACACACTCACCACTCACCACCACGTGACACACTCACCACTCACCACGTGACACACTCACCACTCACTCACCACGTGACACACTCACCACATTCAGGGTGGACGCCGACCCCGATGAGACGGTGGGGCCTGCGAACAAGTTACACACTCACCACGTGACACACTCACCACTCACCACGTGACACACTCACCACTCACCACCACGTGACACACTCACCACGTGACACACCACTCACTCACCACGTGACACACTCACCACTCACCACGTGACACACTCACCACTCACCACCACGTGACACACTCACCACTCACCACGTGACACACTCACCACTCACTCACCACGTGACACACTCACCACTCACCACCACGTGACACACTCACCACTCACCACGTGACACACTCACCACTCACTCACCACGTGACACACTCACCACATTCAGGGTGGACGCCGACCCCGATGAGACGGTGGGGCCTGCGAACAAGTTTCACACTCACCACGTGACACACTCACCACTCACTCACCACGTGACACACTCACCACTCACCACGTGACACACTTACCACTCACCACCACGTGACACACTCACCACGTGACACACTCACCACCACGTGACACACTCACCACTCACGACTCACCACGTGACACACTCACCACGTGACACACCCACCACGTGACACACTCACCACTCACCACGTGACACACTCACCACTCACCACGTGACACTCACCTAACTCACCACACACCACACACTCACCACTCACTCACCATACACTCACCACATTCACCTCACTCACCACACACTCACCACACACCACACTCACCTCACTCAACTCACCCTCACCACACACTCACCACACTCACCTCACTCACCTCACACTCACCACACACCACACACTCATCACACACTCACCACACTCACTACACACTCATCACACACTCACCTCACTCACCTCACACTCACCACACACTCACCTCACTCACCTCACACTCACCGCACACTCACCACACACTCACCACACACTCACCCCACACTCACCACACACTCACCACACACTCACCACACTCACCGCACACTCACCGCACACTCACCACACACTCACCACTCACTCACCACACTCACTACACACTCACCACTCACCACACTCACTCACCACACACTCACCACACACTCACCACACACTCACCACACTCACCACACTCACTCACCACACACTCACCACACACACTCACCACACACACTCACCACACACTTACCACACTCTCACCACACTCTCACCACACTCACCACACACACTCACCACTCACTCACCACACTCACTCACCACACACACTCACCATACTCTCACCACACACTCACCATACTCTCACCACACACTCACCATACACTCACCACACACTCACCACACACTAACCACACTCACCACACACTCACCACTCACTCACCACACACACTCACCACACACACTCACCACACTCTCACCATACACTCACCACACACTCACCACACACTCACCTCACACTCACCACACACACTCACCACACACACTCACCACACTCTCACCATACACTCACCACACACTCACCTCACACTCACTACACTCACTGATTCGTGGCGCTCTAACGTAGTATGGGTACCACGGTGGCTATGAGATGTTGACTACCTCGCCTGGTCTACAGGAGGTCGTGGGCTCGATCCCAACTGACGGTGCCTGCTGCTGCTGTATAATTTGGGTCTGTGTCTCTCATCATCACGGTGGCTATGAGATGTTGACTACCTCGCCTGGTATACAGGAGGTAGTGGGTTCCATCCCGACCCTGACGATGCCTGCTGCTGCTGTATATGAGTCAGGGTCTCTCATAATCATCATCACGGTGGCCAGGAGATGTTGACTACCTCGCCTGGTATACAGGAGGTCGTGGCTTCCATCCCCACCCTGACGATGCCTGCTGCTGCTGCTGTAGATTTGGAGTCTGCGTCTCTCTCCCCGTGGTCGCGTGGATTTTGTCTCCGGCTCCTCCGGACTTTCCCTCCACATTTAGAATCGACATCAACATCAACGCCAGCATGCGTTTTAGAGAATTTGGCCGATCTAAATGTCCACGCAGTAATGAACCACGCTGCGTTGAGCCGTCGTTTCTGATGGCCACGTAGCTTAGTGGCCCTTGCTTGGTTAGACAGAAAATTTCGTCTACTTTTAGTGTCATTCGCCACCGCGCGGTGCGTCAGACATGCACAGATGGACGTGCAAATGCTGCCCGCGTCTCTTTTAAACGAGTCTTACGTTTATTTCCAGTTGTGCTCAGGCTTATTCAACTCATCTCAACTCTTGGGTGTTCGCTATTATAACTGTTGCCTGTCAAATTATAGCTGGGGTTTGTACGCATGTGCCACGGAGTTTTCATTTTACATTTTTTTTGGTTTTTGCCAAGAGGTGTTTACATTCCGTTTCACCAATTCCAGCCCGGCTATTTATACTATTTATTACCCAGAGCGGTGTTTATTTTTAAATGGCATTTTCTGAGAAGGAAGGTTTTTTTTTTTCTACCCCCTTGTGTTTTGCGACGGAGAGAGAAGAGGGGGTTTGAGTGCCGTTGTTGTTATTGTTGTTGAACGGAGTGGGCTCTGATGGTCGTCCGCTGTAGGACCCGGTCCTGCGGTGTGTACGATGGAGCGGTAGGAGGACACATCTTCTTCCCTTATCCGCTGGAAGACCCAACGCAGACCATCGCTGGGGTTTGATCTTACACCCCAAACCGCATCGCCCACAGCACCAACCAGTTGTGGGTGCTCGCTGATGATGCACGAATGGAGAAATGAAAACAAGCCTCCAGTCGTGGTTTGAAGCTTTCGTGACTGCAGGGATTCATATTCTTGGATCGTTCGGTAAAGTCACGTAGAAGGGAAATAATAAAACAAAAATAAAACGATAAAATTATCACGACGTTTCGGCCACAACACAAGCAGCCGTCCTCAGGTGAAGAACAGAGCTGTTGGATAGACAGCTAAATTCCTCTGTTGATATGTAAACTCCCTTTGTCAAGGCGCTCTGCTCCTCCCACCCAGCTTAAATATACGCTGCCAAGCTTAGCGGTGTTCATTAGGACGCTGTCTTTCCGACAGCTCTGTTTCTTCACCTGAGGACGGCTGCTTGCGTTGTGGCCGAAACGTCGTGAGAATTATTTTATTATTTCTCTTTCGGTAAAGTCACGTTTGGTATGAAACGAAATAAATCACGACGTTTCGGGCGCAGCACAAGCGTCTGTCATCTTGCGTTGCGCCCGAAACGTCGTCATTTATTTTAATTTTGTACCTCCGTGACTTTTACCCAAAGATCCGGAGAGTAAAAGTCTCCAGCCGTGGCTGCGGTGCAGACTCTGGTCACCCAGAACGACGCAGAACGACGCAGAACGATGCAGAACGACGCAATGCCCCCTTGTGTTTGGGGTCAAGGGTTGTGGTTGTGGTTGCGTTGTGTTTGGGGTCAAGGGTTGTGGTTGTGGCTGCGTTGTGCTTGGAGTCAGGGTTGTGGTTGCGTTGTGCTTGGGGTCAAGGGTTGTGGTTGTGGTTGCGTTGTGCTTGGGGTCAGGGTTGTGGTTGCGTTGTGCTTGGGGTCAAGGGTTGTGGTTGTGGCTGCGTTGTGCTTGGAGTCAGGGTTGTGGTTGCGTTGTGCTTGGGGTCAAGGGTTGTGGTTGTGGTTGCGCTGTGCTTGGGGTCAGGGTTGTGGTTGAGGTTTTGAGTGAAGGTTGCCACCGTGGAAGGGACGCGTGATGTTGCAGTGAGGATGTTGTTTGGGTTTGGGATGGAGGTGGATTGGGGGTTGTGTTTCTCTCTCTGTGTTTGGGGGGCTGAGCTTGGACTGAAACTGGAGTGGGGGGGAGTGAGGTTGGCCAGTTGGTTGATTGAGTTGGCTTTGGGTTGTGTTTAGGGCTATGGATAGAGTTGTGTTTGTCGCTGTGATAGTGGTCTGTGATTTGGGGTTGCGGCTGGGTTTGTGTTTGAGGACGGGGTTTTGCGATATGTTTTTTTGGCTGGAGTTATTAACCACCACGTGACCTTCAGGGCGGGGTCAAAGGGCAAGTGTGGCCACTCCCACGGGCAAGTGGCCTGGGCAGGTGTGAGGAACCGAACGAGAATCCATCATCACCATTCGCGCGATTCACACCCTCAAATAGCCCTCGAGCCATTTGCCAAAAACTGTCTCGTCGGTACCTCTCAGGGTTACGACTGCTACCAACGTTTTCTCTGAAGCCTGTAACCTCGAGATCACAGATCTGTGTGATAGCAGTGCAGCCGTTGCAGCGTTGAATGGGTCAACGGCCATTGAACAGGGCTCAGCCGTGCGGTATGAAACATCTACGGATTGTAAAATGAATATGAGGGGTGTCTGTGGGTGGACGCTCGTCCGTGGTGGACACACGTGGCACTCCCCCCCCCCTCCCCCCCCCAGGTTGTACCAGTCACAACCCCCTGGGCTCAAGGGTTGAGAGCTTCTCGCTGCGAGGAGGCAGCAACCGTTAGCAGGAGGAGCGATAATGGAGTTGTGAGATGCTGGGCCCGATGTGTGTGTTGGCAGGAGGCCGCGACACGTTGAGTAACAGCCACATTGCATGCTTTGCGTTCATTTCACCATTTCTCCTGTCGACAAAACGCAATCGTCGTGTTGGACGCTCCTGCAAGCCGGCCATCGCGGCGAGGTCTCCTGGCTTGCCCTCGGCTTTCCTTAGAGCTTAGTCTCCATCCGTGTTGGACCAGATGACGCGGGTGTGGACCAATCAACTTCAAGGACAGTGCATATCATTATCATCATCAGAGTTGTTTTCTTTTTGTTTGCATTTTGACTACTTGTGTTGTGGTTATTGCAAACATGATGCCTTGTATAAAGGTGTCAGTTTTGTACTAATTTAAAGGGTAAAAACCTACTATTAAAGGGAAATTTGTGAATATGTGTGTCTGTTCGAAATGTTTAGCGTACTTCATGACATGCAACAAACTTTACATTTTCCATGTGGGTAGCTTCTAGACTGGACACAATGAAAAAAGTCTAAAAGTACACTTTTGTTTTTTGGGGGGAGTTGGGTGGGCGCAATAATGGATATATTTTGCACGCAAGTGAGCGGTGACGTCACATCTGTGACGTCACCGCTCACTTGCGTGCAAAATATATCTGTGACGTCACATCTGTGACGTCACCGCTCACGTGCGTGCAAACTATATCTGTGACGTCACACCTGTGACGTCACCTGCATGCGGCAGCGTCACGCAGTGTGCCTGCTGACGTCACCCCCCCCCCAACCCTCCGCGTAGGCCGTGTGTATTGATCCAAGCCGGGCAATGAAGCTCGCACGAGTCTAAGTGGAACTGCAAGTGACGTTAGCGTTGGCAACGGGCAGCTCGGAGGCAGTGGGGGACGTGTGTGAACCGGTGGGGTCGAGTTGGTGAGTTGAGTTGGTGGGTTGACCCGGTGGGTTGAGTTGGTGGGTTGAGTTGGTGAGTTGGTGGGTTGACCCAGTGGGTTGAGTTGGTGAGTTGAGTTGGTGCGTTGAGTTGGTGGGTTGAGTTGGTGGGTTGAGTTGCTGGGTTGAACCGTTGGGGTTGAGCCGTTGGGGCGTCGACGGAGGCTGAGTTAGAACTCCGTGACGGATCGATTCCGCGGGCGTTGAGTGGGAGGGTGTTGTCTGTGTGTGGGTGTCTGTGTGTGTGTGTTTGTCTGTGTCTGTGTGTGGGTGTCTGTGTGTGGGTGTCTGTGTGTGTGTGGGTGTCTGTGTGTGGGTGTCTGTGTGTGTGTGTTTGTCTGTGTCTGTGTGTGGGTGTCTGTGTGTGGGTGTCTGTGTGTGTGTGGGTGTCTGTGTGTGGGTGTCTGTGTGTGTGTGTTTGTCTGTGTCTGTGTGTGTCTGTGTGTGGGTGTCTGTGTGTGTGTGTCTGTGTGTGTCTGTGTGTGTGTGGGTGTCTGTGTGTCTGTGTGTGGGTGTCTGTCTGTGTGTGGGTGTCTGTGTGTGTGTGTTTGTGTGTGTCTTTGTGTGTGTGGGTGTCTGTGTGTCTGTGTGTGGGTGTCTGTGTGTGGGTGTCTGTGTGTGGGTGTCTGTCAGTCTGTGTGTGGGGGTTGGGGTTGGCCTCAACGTGCACATGGCCTGGCACAAGCGCCGTGGTGACGTCACCACCACTTAGTTGTTGTTGTTAGTGGAAGTGTGACGGTAGTTTAGCGCTACGAACCCGGCGACCCGAGTTCGATTCCCGTTCACGCCAACACCACAGTGGCGCTTATCCGAACCGGTCCTGGGTCTCCTCCCCTGAGTCGACTGAGCCTCAAATGAGTATCCGGTGCGGTGTGTCGTGTACATTGCCACTTCATTAGGTGCTGCTCGCTCACGGCACTTGCCCCAACGGTCACTTGAGGCTACACGGGGGATCTTTGTCTGTGGGGCTCTTCTCGTGCGCTGCAGGTGAAGGGCTTCAAGGAGAAGATCGAGGCAGAGAAGGGAGCAGACGCCTTCCCGGCCTCGGGGCTCAAGTTAATTTACGCAGGTAACCGCCTCCCGCGCGGGTAACCACTGCTTGCGTGGGTAACCACCTCGTGTGTGGGTAACCGCTGCTTGCGTGGGTAACCGCCTCGTGCGCGACACATGAGCACACAGCAGGACCTCCCCAAGACGGACATGAGTTGGCCACAATCCTCCGCTTAGCGCGGTTGGGCTATGTATGGTGTGAATGAAGTTCAGCACACACACACACACACACGAGTTTCCGTGACTGCATGGATCACGTGGGTGAACGTGTTTTTGCTGCGGTTGTCCCGCCTCATGTCGGGGGCTCGTGTTGCCTCCGAAACGTCGTGATTTAACTGAGTTGTTTTCATTTTTATTTGATTTTATTTTCACCGACGTGACTTTACCGAAAGAACGCGGCCTGCACATCGGCGCGCTCGGCAGCTGGGCTTGCGCTGGCAGTGGCACGGAGTGAGGTGGGGTGGGGGGGTTGAGGAGCGGCGATGTTGAGGGGGCACTTGGGGCATCACGCTGCAGGTGACGACGGACGGGGGGGTTGAAGAGGGAGGAAGTGGAGGAGGGGCCCTGGGGAGGAGGGGAGGGGAGCTCTAAGCGAGGAACGGGCAGAATGCGTGCTCAGCCCGGATGGCCGGCCCCAGAACTGATTGGCAATGGAAATGAACGGACCAGAAAGCGCCGCGTGGCGTGAGGGGGACATCGGTTCAGCCTTGTTGGCACAAAGACATGTTTCAGTCGCTGCAGGTCTTCATCTCAATGATCTGAACAATGTCCAGCGTTGATCTCGAAGCTGAATCGGGACACAGTTCACATGCGCTTGTGGCGGAGGTTTGCGGTTCGGATCCGATAGGCCGCCCTTGTTATAACGGCGGTGCGGTGCATTCACCGTGAAAACGCCACACGCCGTCGGCTTCGCAGCGGACGTTTAAAGATCCCGTGACGCCACGCGCAAAGGTCGGCCGCCGTGTGCCAGCATCGCGTTTCAAATTTAGTTAAACGTTTTGCACTCCACTGCAAATTGCACAATTGGGAACTGTTCCGTCCAGACCCTGACGCCTGCTGCTGCTGCTGTGTATTTTGAGTTTGCGTGTCTCTCTCTCTCTCCCCGTGGTCGCGTGGATTTTTCTCCGGGTCCTCCTGTTTTCCCCTGCACGTTTAGAATCAACATCGCCACGCGTTTAGAGCGTTTGGCGGTGGTTTCTATTTCCACGCGACAAGCCACTTTGTTGAGCTATCGGTTGTGGGCTGGTCACTTCTGAAACAGAACTACGTAGTTCAGTGGGGCCTTACCTGGTCAAATAAAAAGTAGTTCATCTTCTTGGTTCTTTCGGTAAAGTCACGTGACTTTACCGAAAGAACCAAGAAGATGAATCCCTGCAGTCACGAAAGCTTTAAATCGAAATGAAAAGTAGTTTATAGTTTAACTCGTACGCATTCGTCAATGACAGTGTGCATGTTGAGCTTCTTTCACGCCGTACGTAGCCAGCAAGTGCCAAGAAAAGTATATGATGGCCGACGTTTCGTGCAACGGCTCTTTCGCAGCACAAAGCCGTACGGTTGCTGAGCGTTGCCCCCCCCCCCCGCCCCCCGCGCTGTGCCCACAGGCAAGATCCTGAACGACGAGTCGACGCTCAGGGAGTACAAGATCGACGACAAGAACTTCGTGGTCGTCATGGTGGTAAGAGGGGCGGCTCATCGCCGCGGCGACGGGCTCGCGATGGTGTCGCGTCGCGCTGCGGTTTGGAGTAGCGTCGCTTGTTCGCAAGAAGCGCTGGCGCGGAGACTCAACGATGCTACGTCGTGATTTTTTTATTTCGACCGACGTGACTTTACCGAAAGAACCAACGAGTATGGATTATCCTGCAGTCACGAAAGCTTCAAATCACGATAATAATTGTAAATCGTTTCGCGTGAATCGTGACCCCGTGCATCGGGAAATGGGGGTTGCCACGATGGCTAGGAGATGTTAGCTACTTCGCCTGGTACGCAGGAGGTCGTGGGTTCAACGATGCCTGCTGCTGCTGTATATTTGGAGTCTGCGTCTCTCTCATCATAATCACGGTGGCTAGGAGATGTTAGCTACCTCGCCTGGTCTACAGGAGGTCGTGGGTTCGACCCTGACGATTGCCTGCTGCTGCTGTATATTTGGAGTCTGCGTCTCTCTCTCCTGTGGTCGCGTGGATTTTTCTCTGGCCCCATTTTTTTACCTCCGCATCTCGAATCAACAAGCATGCGTTTCGCCTATTTGGCTGCTACTTTAAATTTCCACACGATGACGAGCCACTTGGTTGCGCTATCATTTGTGGCCAGATCGCTTCTGACAAAGTGGGCCTTACCTGGTAAGATAAAAATAGTTTAATTATTATTTTTTAAAGCGATTTGTTCACCTTTTCATTTTGCATCCCTATCGTGCTTTTGTGTTGTTGCTACGTTGTGACCCGGTGCCCTGACTGGACATCTGTTAGAAAGAGCTCCACAGCTCATGGGATTCCTCCACTAGAAATAAAGATCCTGATTGTGGACACAGGCCACCTGCGCCAGCAGCGCCCGGCGGCACGGCTTGCGCCGCTGACACGCGCTGCCGCCGTGTGCAGGGCAAGGGCGCGGCAGGAGCTCAGACCAGCGGTGCCACCAGCAGCAGCACCAGCAGCAGCGCCGCCGCCGCTGCACCCGCCGCCACGCAGGAACCAGCGGCGCCAGCCCCCGTGGCGGCCGCACCGCCCGCCAGCCGGCCCTCCGCGGAGGCCGGCGCCGCGCCAGCCACACAGCCCGCGCCCAGGTACCAGCACTCACCCGCCCGCCCAGTCGGCGCTGCTGCTCCCACCGCTAGAGTTGAACACAGAGATGAGCGCCCACCCCTCCCACCCCCCATCCTGATGGCTTTGCTCAGCTGGGGCAGTGAGGCCCCCCCCTTCCACCCCCCATCTCTTCTCTACGGCTCAGTTGCGTCGGCACGGATCTTCGCAACGTGTCGATCCGTGGACTTGACTTGCACGACGGCTTGTCGCGGGCCTCCGTGTTTTGTTAATGATTAAAACGACAAAACTAGCAGAGCAACCGAGGCCTGTGTGCCCCGCACGGCTTTGGCTCGGCCTCGGCCTCTCAACGCTTCCAAAGACGCACGCGGCACGAGACACCCACCCGGGCTCGTGCCGCGGGAGTCGTGAGCGCGGCGGGGATCCGTGGCTCGGAGCCGATTCGGCTGACGCGCAACTTTGAGCCGGCTGGCCTGAGCCCGGAGCCAAGTCTGAGTCGAGCCAAGTCTGAGTCGAGCCATCGCCAGCAATGCGGGTCGGGGACACGATCGCCGTAGCGGAGGGGCGGTGGTGTAGCGGTTAGCGCTACTCTGCACTACGAACTTGGCGACCCGGGTTTGATTCCCGCTCACAGCAAACACCAGTGACGATTATCTGAACCGGTCCTGGGCCTCCCCTAGGTCGACTAAGCCTCAAATGAGTACCTGGTGCGGCGTGTAAACATCGGCACTGGGGAGACAAAGGCGGCCGGGCGTGGTGTTGGCCTCGTGTACCGTTCCGGCCTTCATAGGTGCTCGCTAACAGCACTTGCCCCTACAGTCTGTTAAGGCTATACGGGGGACCTTTGTCTTTGTGGTGCTGTGTGTGTGGTGGTGCTGTGTGTGTGTGGTGCTGTGTGTGTGGTGGTGCTGTGTGTGTGTGGTGCTGCATGTGTGTGGTGCTGCATGTGTGTGGTGCTGTGTGTGTGGTGCTGTGTGTGTGGTGCTGTGTGTGTGGAGGTTTACCGCAGCCTTCGCTCGGAAGTTCGGAGAGCCGTAAGGCGCTGTAAGGATGGGTGGTGGTCGCGGGTTGCTGAGGAGATGGAGTCTGCCTCAGTGGCCCGTGATCACAAATCACTATTTAACTCCATCACAAAAGTAACTTGCAGCGCCACACCTATTACCATCATTAGAGGAAAAAACGGTGATCCAATCTCCGACCCCCAGGAACAGGTTTGCAGATTTGCTGAGCATTTCTGTGAGGTCCTGGGGGAGGGAAATTCTCTCAACCAGGAAAACATCATGGCACAAAGTGGTGATAACCCTGCTGAGGCTGCGGTGCCTCAAATATTGGAAGAGGTCACCCCCTGTGAGTGGCTGGCTGAGGTGCCAGCTGTTGAGGAAGTACTGAGGGCGATCCGGAGTCTGAGACCAGGGAAGGCACCGGGCAGAGATGATCTCCCAAGCGAAATGCTGAGGGAGGGTGGTGTTTGTGCACAGACTGCCCTATATGACATCATAACAACAGTCTGGACCACTGGACGGGTTCCGCAGGACTGGAAGGATGCCCTGGTGGTCCCCCTCTTTAAGAAGGGGGACCGTACCGACTGTAACAACTACAGGGGCATCTCACTCCTCAGTGTGCCGGGTAAGGTCCTGGCAAGGATTATTCAACATCGCCTTGCTAGGCACGCTGAGGAGAGGCTTGCGGAGCCCCAATGCGGTTTCAGGAAAGGGCGGTCCTGTACAGATGCCATATTTTCTGTCCGTCTGCTACAGCAGAGGTGTAGGGAATTCCAAAAGACCTACATCTCTGCTTTATTGAACTGGTCAAGGCCTATGATACCATCAGTAGGACTGGGCTCTGGGTTGTTCTTCGTGCTTTCGGAGTCCCTGACCCTCTGCTCACGATCATTAAGGACCTTCATGATGGTGAGCGGGCCCGGGTAAAACTACGTGGCCGGGAGTCGGAGCCTTTCCCTGTACACCTTGGGGTGCGACAGGGATGTCCTCTGGCTCCCACATTATTTAACATCTATTTTGACCGCGTAGTTCGTGAAGCCTTCAATAGCTGTACCGGGGGAATATCCATTTGGTACAGATATAATGGGAGGCTGATCGATGCCCGGGTGCGATCAAGGGATGGCTCCCTATTGGTCAACCACGTTATGTATGCCGATGATTTGGTAATAGCTGCTCATTCAGAAGAGGAGTTGGAGACGCTGCTGCTGAGACTGGAGCGTGCCACTAAGAGGTGGGGCCTTACCATCAGCCCCACCAAAACTAAGCACCTGCCTGGGTATTTTGTACCATCGGACACTCCACCCCCACAACTGCCAATTGGTGATGGGGCAGTTGTGGAGAGAGTGGAGAGTTTCCCATACCTGGGCAATGTGCTTATGACCGGCTCCAGTTTATCAGCAGAGGTCTCACTCCGAATCAGTCGAGCGGCAATATCTTTTCATCGGTTGCGTAACGCTGTGTGGAAGCTACCTGGTCTGTCGCTCCGCACGAAGCTTCAGGTCTTCTCGGCCACGGTCATTCCCTCCCTTCTCTACGCTTGCGAAACGTGGACCCCCCTAGTGGAGCATCTTCGCCGGTTGGAAACATTTAGGCTGGCCTGCCTACGATCCATCCTGGGTTTAACCAGGCTGGATTGTGTGAGGAGCTCACAAGTCCTTGAAAGATCTGGGCAAAGTCCCATCAGTGAGCTCCCCCGGCAGGCAAGGCTGCGTTGGCTGGGTCATGCAGCCCGCATGCCCAGCCACCGCATGCCTAAACAGCTTTTGTTCGGCCGGATCGAGGGGGCTAAACGGGCGTGGCACGGGCTAGAGAAGAGATGGAGTGATGTGGTACAGGAGGACGTGGAGCTGATTGGACTTGCCGATGACTGGTACCAGCGGTGTCAAGATCGGCCTCAGTGGAGGAGGCTCGTGAAGGACGCTACTGGGCAGTTGGAGGCAGTCGCCCTCCAACAACAACGGAGGGCGGAGGAGCGACGCTCACAACAACGAGCGGAGCGCCGGGTGGCTAAAGCACAGCAAGTTGGTACAGTAGGGGGTACAGGTGGTGCATCAGCCAGTCATCTCGGTCATCTCGGTCAGTCGACCCGTGGCACCTGGGTCTGCCCCGTGACCTCCTGCCAGCGGGCGTTCGACACTTCACGTGGCCTCAAGGTGCACATGGCCTGGCACAAGCGTCGTGGTGACGTCACCGCCACTTAGTGGCGAATGGCGGTTGTTGTTGTTGTTGTGTGGTGCTGCGTGTGGTGCTGTGTGTGTGTGGTGCTGTGTGTGTGTGGTGCTGTGTGTGGTGATGTGTGGTGTGGTGCTGTGTGTGTGTGGTGCTGTGTGTGTGGTGCTGCGTGTGTGGTGCTGTGTGTGTGTGGTGCTGTGTGTGTGGTGCTGTGTGTGTGGTGCTGTGTGTGTGGTGCTGTGTGTGTGGTGCTGTGTGTGTGTGGTGCTGTGTGTGTGTGGTGCTGTGTGTGTGTGGTGCTGTGTGTGTGTGGTGCTGTGTGTGTGGTGCTGTGTGTGTGGTGCTGTGTGTGTGGTGCTGTGTGTGTGGTGCTGCGTGTGTGGTGCTGCGTGTGGTGGTGCTGCGTGTGTGTGTGGTGCTGCGTGTATGTGTGGTGCTGCGTGTGTGGTGGTGCTGCGTGTGTGGTGGTGCTGCGTGTGTGTGTGGTGCTGCGTGTGCAGTGCTGTGTGTGCGGTGCTGTGTGTGTGGTGCTGTGTGTGGTGCTGTGTGTGTGTTGCTGTGTGTGGTGTGGTGCTGCGTGTGTGGTGCTGTGTTGTGTGTGTTGTGGTGCTGTGTGTGTGGTTATGTGTGTGTGTGTGGTGCTGTGTGTGTGTGTGTGGTGCTGTGTGTGTGGTGCTGTGTGTGTGTGTGGTGCTGCGTGTGTGTGGTGCTGCGTGTGTGTGGTGCTGCGTGTGTGTGGTGCTGAGTCTGTGGTGCTGCGTGTGTGGTGCTGTGCGTGTGTGGTGCTGTGTGTGTGGTGCTGTGTGTGTGGTGCTGTGTGTGTGTGTGGTTGCTGTGTGTGTGTGTGGTGCTGTGTGTGTGTGTGGTGCTGTGTGTGTGTGTGGTGCTGTTTGTGTGTGTGGTGCTGTGTGTGTGTGGTGCTGTGTGTGTGGTGCTGTGTGTGTGGTGCTGTGTGTGTGTGTGGTGCTGTGTGTGTGGTGCTGCGGTGTGTGTGGTGGTGCTGTGTGTGTGTGTGGGTTCTGCGTGTGTGTGTGGTGCTGTGTGTGTGGTCCTGTGTGTGTGGTGCTGTGTGTGTGTTGGTGCTGTGTGTGTGGTGCTGTGTGTGTGTGGTGCTGTGTGTGGTGGTGCTGCGTGTGTGGGTGGTGCTGCGTGTGTGTGTGGTGCTGTGTGTGGTGCGGTGTGTGGTGCTGCGTGTGTGGTGCTGTGTGTGTGTGTGGTGCTGTGTGTGTGGTGCTGTGTGTGTGTGGTGCTGTGTGTGTGTGGTCTGTGTGTGTCTGGTGCTGTGTGTGTGTGTGGTACTGCGTGTGTGGGTGCTGCTGTGTGTGGTGCTGCGTGTGTGGTGCTGCGTGTGTGTGGTGCTGCGTGTGTGTGGTGCTGTGTGTGTGTGGTGCTGTGTGTTTGTGGTGCTGGGTGTGTGTGTGTGGTGCTGTGTGTTTGTGGTGCTGCGTGTGTGGTGTGCTGCGTTGTGTGGTGCTGCGTGTGTGTTGTGCTGTGTGTGTGTGTGGTGCTGCGTGTGTGGTGCTGCGTGTGTGGTGCTGCGTGTGTGGTGTGGTGCTGCGTGTGTGTGTGTGTGTTTGTGGTGCTGGGTGTGTGTGTGTGGTGCTGTGTGTTTGTGGTGCTGTGTGTAGTGGTGGCTGCGTGTGTGTGTGGTGCTGAGTGTGTGTGTGTGTGCTGCGTGTTTGTGGTGCTGTGTGTGTGGTGCTGTGTGTGTGTGTGGTGCGTGTGTGTGTGTGGTGCTGTGTGTGTGTGTGGTGCTGTGTGTGTGGTGCTTGCGTGTGTGTGTGGTGCTGCGTGTGTGTGGTGCTGCGGTGTGTGTGTGGTGCTGCGTGTGTGTGGTGCTGCTGTGGTGTGGTGCTGTTGTGTGTGGTGCTGTTTGTGGTGTGGTGCTGTGTGTGTGTGGTGCTGTGTGTGTGTGGTGCTGTGTGTTTGTGGTGCTGGGTGTGTGTGTGTGGTGCTGTGTGTTTGTGGTGCTGGGTGTGGGTGAGTGGTGCTGTGTGTTTGTGGTGCTGGGTGTGTGTGTGTGGTGCTGTGTGTTTGTGGTGCTGTGTGTGTGGTGCTGTGTGTGTGGTGCTGTGTGTGTGGCGCAGCGTGTGTGGCGCTGTGTGTGTGTGGTGGGTGTGGGCTGCGTGTGTTGTGGTGCTGCGTGTGTGTGCTGCGTGTGTGTGGTGCTGCGTGTGTGGTGGGTGTGTGTGCCCTGTGTGTGTGTGTGGTGCTGTGTGTGTGTGGTGCTGTGTGTGTATGGTGCTGTGTGTGTGTGGTGCTGTGTGTGTGGTGCTGTGTGTGGTGCTGCGTGTGTGTGTGGTGCTGCGTGTGTGTGTGGTGCTGTGTGTGTGGTGCTGTGTGTGGTGCTGCGTGTGTGTGGTGCTGCGTGTGTGTGTGGTGCGTGTGTGGTGCTGTGTGTGGTGCTGTGTGTGTGTGGTGCTGTGTGTGTGTGTGGTGCTGTGTGTGTGTGGTGCTGTGTGTGTATGGTGCTGTGTGGAAAGGGCGGTCCTGCACAGATGCCATATTTTGTGTCCGTCTGCTACAGCAGAGGTGTAGGGAATTCCAAAAAGACCTACATCTCTGCTTTATTGACCTGGTCAAGGCCTATGATACCATCAGTAGGCCTGGGCTCTGGGTTGTTCTTCGTGCTTTCGGAGTCCCTGACCCTCTGCTCACGATCATTAAGGACCTTCATGATGGTGAGCGGGCCCGGGTAAAACTACGTGGCCGGGAGTCGGAGCCTTTCCCTGTACACCTTGGGGTGCGACAGGGATGTCCTCTGGCTCCCACATTATTTAACATCTATTTTGACCGCGTAGTTCGTGAAGCCTTCAATAGCTGTACCGGGGGAATTTCCATTTGGTACAGATATAATGGGAGGCTGATCGACGCCCGGGTGCGATCAAGGGATGGCTCCCTATTGGTCAACCACGTTATGTATGCCGATGATTTGGTAATAGCTGCTCACTCAGAGGAGGAGTTGGAGACGCTGCTGCTGAGACTGGAGCGTGCCACTAAGAGGTGGGGCCTTACCATCAGCCCCACCAAAACTAAGCACCTGCCTGGGTATTTTGTACCATCGGACACTCCACCCCCACAACTCCCAATTGGTGATGGGGCAGTTGTGGAGAGAGTGGAGAGTTTCCCATACCTGGGCAGTGTGCTTATGACCGGCTCCAGTCTATCAGCAGAGGTCTCACTCCGAATCAGTCGAGCGGCAATATCTTTTCATCGGTTGCGTAACGCTGTGTGGAAGCTACCTGGTCTGTCGCTCCGCACGAAGCTTCAGGTCTTCTCGGCCACGGTCATTCCCTCCCTTCTCTACGCTTGCGAGACGTGGACCCCCCTGGTGGAGCATCTTCGCCGGTTGGAAACATTTAGGCTGGCCTGCCTACGATCCATCCTGGGTTTAACCAGGCTGGATTGTGTGAGGAGCTCACAAATCCTTGAAAGATCTGGGCAAAGTCCCATCAGTGAGCTCCTCCGGCAGGCAAGGCTGCGTTGGCTGGGTCATGTAGCCCGCATGCCCAGCCACCGCATGCCTAAACAGCTTTTGTTCGGCCGGATCGAGGGGGCTAGACGGGCGCGGCACGGGCTGGAGAAGAGATGGAGTGATGTGGTACAGGAGGACGTGGAGCTGAGTGGACTTGCCGATGACTGGTACCAGCGGTGTCAAGATCGGCCTCAGTGGAGGAGGCTCGTGAAGGACGCTACTGGGCAGTTGGAGGCAGTCGCCCTCCAACAACAACGGAGGGCGGAGGAGCGACGCTCACAACAACGAGCGGAGCGCCGGGTGGCTAAAGCACAGCAAGTTGGCACAGTAGGGGGCACAGGTGGTGCATCAGCCAGTCATCTCGGTCATCTCGGTCAGTCGACCCGTGGCACCTGCTGGGTCTGCCCCGTGACCTCCTGCCAGCGGGCTTTCGACACTTCACGTGGCCTCAAGGTGCACTTGGCCTGGCACAAGCATCGTGGTGACGTCACCGCCACTTAGTGGCGAATGGCGGTTGTTGTTGTTGTTGTATGGTGCTGTGTGTGTGTGGTGCTGTGTGTGTGGTGCTGTGTGTGGTGCTGCGTGTGTGTGGTGCTGCGTGTGTGTGTGGTGCTGCGTGTGTGTGGTGCTGCGTGTGTGGTGCTGCGTGTGTGTGGTGTGTGACGGTGGGTCCCTCTCCCACGTGCCCCCTCCCTCCCCCCTTCACCCCCCCCCCTCCACCCCCCCTCTCCCCCCACTCCTAGCCCAGCGGTGACGACGCCCCCCACCCCTGCCGGCGCCAGCGGCGCCAGCGGCAGCCTCGTCGACGCCGCCTCCTCCACGCTGGGTACCGGCACGGCACCACCACCGTCGTGGCTAGCACCACCACCACCACCGTCGTGGCTAGCATCACCACCGCCGTGGCTAGCATCACCACCACCATGGCTAGCATCACCACCAAGGGTAGCATCACCACCACTATGGCTAGCATCACCACCACCATGGCTAGCATCACCACCAAGGGTAGCATCACCACCACCGTGGCTAGCATCACCACCACCATGGCTAGCATCACCATCACCGTGGCTAGCATCACCACCATGGCTAGCATCACCACCACCATGGCTAGCATCACCACCATGGCTAGCATCACCACCACCGTGGCTAGCATCACCACCATGGCTAGCATCACCACCACCATGGCTAGCATCACCACCATGGCTAGCATCACCACCACCATGGCTAGCATCACCACCACCATGGCTAGCATCACCACCATGGCTAGCATCCCACCACCGTGGCTAGCATCACCACCATGGCTAGCATCACCACCACCGTGGCTAGCATCACCACCGTGGCTAGCATCACCACCATGGCTAGCATCACCACCACCATGGCTAGGCATCACCACCACCATGGCTAGCATCACCACCACCATGGCTAGCATCACCACCACCATGGCTAGCATCACCACCATGGCTAGCATCACCACCACCGTGGCTAGCATCACCACCATGGCTAGCATCACCACCACCGTGGCTAGCATCACCACCGTGGCTAGCATCACCACCATGGCTAGCATCACACCACCATGGCTAGCATCACCACCACCATGGCTAGCATCACCACCATGGCTAGCATCACCACCATGGCTAGCATCACCACCCACCGTGGCTAGCATCACCACCACCATGGCTAGCATCACCACCATGGCTAGCATCACCACCACCATGGCTAGCATCACCACCATGGCTAGCATCAACCACCACAATCCATCACCACACCATGGCTAGCATCACCACCACCATGGCTAGCATCACCCCATGGCTACCACCACCGTGGCTAGCATCACCACCATGGCTAGCACCACCACCGTGGCTAGCACCACCACCATGGCTAGCATCACCACCACCGTGGCTAGCATCACCACCACCGTGGCTAGCATCACCACCAACCGTGGCTAGCATCACAACCACCGTGGCTAGCATCACCACCACCATGGCTAGCATCACCACCATGGCTAGCATCACCACCACCATGGCTAGCATCATCACCGTGGCTAGCATCACCACCACCATGGCTAGCATCACCACCGTGGCTAGCATCACCACCACCATGGCTGCATCACCACCACCGTGGCTAGCATCACAACCACCGTGGCTGCATCACCACCACCATGGCTAGCATCACCACCATGGCTAGCATCACCACCACCATGGCTAGCATCATCACCGTGGCTTGCATCACACCACCATGGCTAGCATCACCACCGTGGCTAGCATCACCACCACCATGGCTAGCATCACCACCACCACCATGGCTAGCATCACCACCACCATGGCTAGCATCACCACCACCATGGCTAGCATCACCACCACCATGGCTAGCATCACCACCACCACCATGGCTAGCATCACCACCACCATGGCTAGCATCACCACCACCGTGGCTAGCATCACCACCACCATGGCTAGCATCACCACCATGGCTAGCATCACCACCATGGCTAGCATCACCACCGTGGCTAGCATCACCACCACCATGGCTAGCATCACCACCGTGGCTAGCATCACCACCACCGTGGCTAGCATCACCACCACCATGGCTAGCATCACCACCGTGGCTAGCATCACCACCATGGCTAGCATCACCACCGTGGCTAGCATCACCACCGTGGCTAGCATCACCACCATGGCTAGCATCACCACCACCGTGGCTAGCACCACCACCATGGCTAGCATCACCACCACCGTGGCTAGCATCACCACCACCGTGGCTAGCATCACCACCACCGTGGCTAGCATCACAACCACCGTGGCTAGCATCACCACCGTGGCTAGCATCACCACCACCGTGGCTAGCACCACCACCATGGCTAGCATCACCACCGTGGCTAGCATCACCACCACCGTGGCTAGCACCACCACCATGGCTAGCATCACCACCGTGGCTAGCATCACCACCACCGTGGCTAGCATCACCACCACCGTGGCTAGCATCACCACCACCGTGGCTAGCATCACCACCACCGTGGCTAGCATCACCACCACCATGGCTAGCATCACCACCACCATGGCTAGCATCACCACCGTGGCTAGCATCACCACCACCGTGGCTAGCATCACCACCACCATGGCTAGCATCACCACCACCGTGGCTAGCATCACCACCACCGTGGCTAGCATCACCACCATGGCTAGCATCACCACCACCGTGGCTAGCATCACCACCACCATGGCTAGCATCACCACCGTGGCTACATCACACCACCTGGCTAGCATCACCACCACCATGGCTAGCATCACCCCATGGCTAGCATCACCACCACCGTGGCTAGCATCACCACCATGGCTAGCATCACCACCACCGTGGCTAGCATCACCACCACCATGGCTAGCATCACCACCATGGCTAGCATCACCACCACCGTGGCTAGCATCACCACCACCGTGGCTAGCATCACCACCATGGCTAGCATCACCACCACCATGGCTAGCATCACCACCACCATGGCTAGCATCACCACCATGGCTAGCATCACCACCATGGCTAGCATCACCACCACCATGGCTAGCATCACCACCACCATGGATAGCATCACCACCGTGGCTAGCATCACCACCACCATGGCTAGCATCACCACCATGGCTAGCATCACCACCACCGTGGCTAGCATCACCACCACCATGGCTAGCATCACCACCGTGGCTAGCATCAACACCACCATGGCTAGCATCTAACCAACCACCATGGCTAGCATCACCACCATGGCTAGCATCACCACCACCGTGGCTAGCATCACCACCACCACCATGGCTAGCATCACCACCACCATGGCTAGCATCACCACCACCACATGGCTAGCATCACCACCACCATGGCTAGCATCACCACCACCATGGCTAGCATCACCACCACCATGGCTAGCATCACCACCACCACCATGGCTAGCATCACCACCACCATGGCTAGCATCACCACCACCGTGGCTAGCATCACCACCACCATGGCTAGCATCACCACCATGGCTAGCATCACCACCATGGCTAGCATCACCACCGTGGCTAGCATCACCACCGTGGCTAGCATCACCACCATGGCTAGCATCACCACCATGGCTAGCATCACCACCCCACCATGGCTAGCATCACCACCACCGTGGCTAGCATCACCACCACCGTGGCTAGCATCACCACCACCGTGGCTAGCATCACCACCACCATGGCTAGCATCACCACCACCATGGCTAGGCATCACCACCACCCATGGCTAGCACACCAACCACCGTGGCTAGCATCACCACCATGGCTAGCATCACCACCACCATGGCTAGCATCACCACCACCGTGGCTAGCATCACCACCAACCATGGCTAGCATCACCACCACCGTGGCTAGCATCACCACCACCGTGGCTAGCATCACCACCATGGCTAGCATCACCACCACCGTGGCTAGCATCACCACCACCATGGCTAGCATCACCACCACCATGGCTAGCATCACCACCACCGTGGCTAGCATCACCACCGTGATAGCATCACCACCACATGGCTAGCATCACCACCACGTTAGCTAGCATCACCACCACCCTGGCTAGCATCACCACCACCGTGGCTAGCTTCACCACCGTGGCTAGCATCCACCACCACTATGGCTAGCATCACCACGTGGCTAGCATCACCACCACCATGGCTAGCATCACCACCACCGTGCTAGCATCACCACCATGGCTAGCATCACCACCACCCTGGCTAGCATCACCACCACCGTGGCTAGCATCACCACCATGGCTAGCATCACCACCACCGTGGCTAGCATCACCACCATGGCTAGCATCACCACCATGGCTAGCATCACCACCACCGGGCTAGCATCACCACCATGGCTAGCATCACCACCACGTGGCTAGCATCAACCACCATGGCTAGCATCACCACCACCGTGGCTAGCATCACCACCACCATGGCTAGCATCAACCACCATGGCTAGCATCACCCATCACCATGGCTAGCATCACCACCGTGGCTAGCATCACCACCACCGTGGCTAGCATCACCACCATGGCTAGCATCACCACCATGGCTAGCATCATCACCATGGCTAGCATCACCACCACCATGGCTAGCATCACACCACCACCATGGCAGTCAGCATCACACCATGGCTAGCATCACCATACCATGGCTAGAATCACACCACCGTGGCTAGCATCACACACCACCATGGCTGCATCACCACCACCGTGGCTAGCATCACCATCACCACCGCCGTGGCTAGCATCACCATCACCACCACCGTGGCTAGCATCACCACCGCCGTGGGCTAGCATCACCACCACCATGGCTAGCGTCACCACCACCATGGCTAGCATCACCACCACCGTGGCTAGCGTCACCACCACCGTGGCTAGCGTCACACACCACCATGGCTAGCGTCCACTACCACCATGGCTAGCATCACCTCCACCGTGGCTAGCATCACAACCACCGTGGCTAGCATCACCACCACCGTGGCTAGCGTCACCACCACCATGGCTAGCATCACCACCACCGTGGCTAGCATCACCACCACCGTGGCTAGCGTCACCACCACCGTGGCTAGCATCACCACCACCATGTGCTAGCATCACCACCACCGTGGCTAGCATCACCATCACCCACCGCCGTGGCTAGCAATCACCATCACCACCACCGTGGCTAGCATCACCACCGCCGTGGCTAGCATCACCACCACCATGGCTAGCGTCACCACCACCATGGCTAGCATCACCACCACCGTGGCTAGCGTCACCACCACCGTGGCTAGCGTCACCACCACAATGGCTAGCGTCACCACCACCATGGCTAGCATCACCACCACCGTGGCTAGCATCACCACACCGTGGCTAGCATCACCACCACCGTGGCTAGCGTCCACCACCACCGTGGCTAGCGTCACCACCACCATGGCTAGCATCACCACCACCGTGGCTAGCATCACCACCACCGTGGCTAGCGTCACCACCACCGTGGCTAGCGTCACCACCACCATGGCTAGCATCACCACCGCCGTGGCTAGCATCACCACCACCATGGCTAGCGTCACCACCACCATGGCTAGCATCACCACCACCGTGGCTAGCATCACCACCACCGTGGCTGGCGTCACCACCACCATGGCTAGCATCACCACCACCATGGCTAGCATCTCCACCACCATGGCTAGCATCACCACCACCGTGGCTAGCATCACCACCGTGGCTAGCATCACCACCACCATGGCTAGCATCTCCACCACCATGGCTAGCATCTCCACCGTGGCTAGCATCACCACCATGGCTAGCATCACCACCACCATGGCTAGCATCTCCACCACCATGGCTAGCATCACCACCACCGTGGCTAGCATCACCACCATGGCTAGCATCACCACCACCGTGGCTAGCATCACCACCATGGCTAGCATCACCACCATGGCTAGCATCACCACCGCCGTGGCTAGCATCACCACCATGGCTAGCATCACCACCACCATGGCTAGCATCACCACCGTGGATAGCATCACCGTTGAGCCAACCTGAACCCTTTCAACACCGACCACATTGTATCGTTTTGTAAACTCAGTTCGGCTTATAGGGATTGTTGTTGTTGGATTGAATGGAAGCATGACTGCTTCGTCCTTACACGCTACTTTTTATTTTCTGGGTAGTTGCCACTAGATGGCAGCAGCAGACGTGGTCACCACTCGCTTGTACACACTTGTGTACGCGCTTGTGTACACGCTTGTGATTGTGATGATGGGGGAGATGTTTTAGATGGGAGATGATTGTGATTCTGATGGGAGATGTCTCAGATTGGAGGTGATTGTGATTCTGATGGGAGATGTCTCAGATGGGAGATGATTGTGATTCTGATGGGAGATGTCTCAGATTGGAGGTGATTGTGATTCTGATGGGGATGTCTCAGATGGGAGATGATTGTGATTCTGACGGGAGATGTCTCAGATGGGAGATGATTGTGATTCTGATGGGAGATGTCTCAGATTGGAGGTGATTGTGATTCTGATGGGAGATGTCTCAGATGGGAGATGATTGTGATTCTGACGGGAGATGTCTCAGATGGGAGATGATTGTGATTCTGACGGGAGATGTCTCAGATGGGAGATGATTGTGATTCTGATGGGAGATGTCTCAGATTGGAGGTGATTGCGATTGTGACGGGCGTGGCGTGTGTGTGCTGTGTGCGGCTGGCAGTGACAGGCCAGGCCTACGAAACATGGTGCAGGAGATGGTGCTCATGGGCTACGAGCGCGAGCGCGTCGTGGCGGCGCTGCGCTCCAGCTTCAACAACCCCGACCGCGCCGTCGAGTACCTCCTCACGGTGCGCGACAGCAGCCGCTACGCACACAGCTACACCAGCTACACACAGCTACACACAGCTATACACAGAGCCACACAGCTACACAGCTACACACAGCTACACAGCTACACACAGCTACACACAGCTACACAGCTACACACAGCTACACAGCTACACACAGCTACACACAGCTACACACAGAGCCACACTGCTACACACAGAGCCACACTGCTACTCACAGAGCCACACAGCTACTCACAGAGCCACACTGCTACTCACAGAGCCACACTGCTACTCACAGAGCCACACTGCTACTCACAGAGCCACACAGCTACACACAGCCACACTGCTACTCACAGAGCCACACTGCTACACACAGAGCCACACTGCTACTCACAGAGCCACACTGCTACTCACAGAGCCACACTGCTACACACAGAGCCACACTACTACACACAGAGCCACACAGCTACACACAGAGCCACACTGCTACTCACAGAGCCACACTGCTACACACAGAGCCACACTGCTACACACAGAGCCACACAGCTACACACAGAGCCACACAGCTACACACAGCTACACTGCTACTCACAGAGCCACACCGCTACACACAGAGCCACACTGCTACTCACAGAGCCACACTGCTACTCACAGAGCCACTCTGCTACTCACAGAGCCACACTGCTACTCACAGAGCCACACTGACACCGCTACTCACAGAGCCACACAGCTACACACAGAGCCACACAGCTACTCACAGAGCCACACTGCTACTCACAGAGCCACACTGCTACTCACAGAGCCACACTGCTACTCACAGAGCCACACTGCTACTCACAGAGCCACACTGCTACTCACAGAGCCACTCTGCTACTCACAGAGCCACACTGCTACTCACAGAGCCACACTGACACCGCTACTCACAGAGCCACACAGCTACACACAGAGCCACACAGCTACTCACAGAGCCACACTGCTACTCACAGAGCCACACTGCTACTCACGAGCCACACTGCTACTCACAGAGCCCACTGCTACTCACAGAGCCACACTGCTACTCACAGAGCCACACTGCTACTCACAGAGCCACACTGCTACACACAGAGCCACACTGCTACTCACAGAGCCACACTGCTACTCACAGAGCCACACTGCTACACACAGAGCCACTCTGCTACACACAGAGCCACACTGCTACACACAGAGCCACACTGCTACTCACAGAGCCACACTGACACCGCTACTCACAGAGCCACACTGCTACTCACAGAGCCACACTGCTACTCACAGAGCCACACTGCTACACACAGAGCCACACTGCTACTCACAGAGCCACACTGCTACTCACAGAGCCACACTGCTACTCACAGAGCCACACTACTACACACAGAGCCACACTGCTACTCACAGAGCCACAGCTACACACAGAGCTACACTGCTACTCACAGAGCCACACTGCTACACACAGAGCCACAGCTACTCACAGAGCCACACCGCTACACACAGAGCCACACCGCTACTCACAGAGCCACACAGCTACTCACAGAGCCACACAGCTACACACAGCCACACACAGCCACACAGCTACACACAGCCACACCACCCACAGCTACACACAGCTACACACAGCTACACACAGCTACACACAGCCACACACAGCTACACACAGCTACACACAGCTACACAGCTACACACAGCTACACACAGCTACAGCTACACACAGAGCTACACAGCCCACACAGAGCCACACTGCTACTCACAGAGCCACACTGCTACTCACAGAGCCACTCAGCTACACACAGAGCTACACAGCTACTCACAGAGCCACACTGCTACTCACAGAGCTACACAGCTACACACGAGCCACACTACACACAGAGCCACAAGCTACACACAGAGCCACACAGCTACTCACAGAGCCACACTGCTACTCACAGAGCCACACTGCTACTCACAGAGCCACACTACTACTCACAGAGCCACACTGTTACACACAGAGCCACACTGCTACTCACAGAGCCACACTGCTACTCACAGAGCCATACTGCTACTCACAGAGCCACACTGCTACTCACAGAGCCACACCAGCTCACAGAGCCACACACACAGAGCCACACCGCTACTCACAGAGCCACACTGCTTAACACAGAGCCACACTGCTACACACAGAGCCACACTGCTACTCACAGAGCCACCAGCTACACACAGAGCCACAGCTACACACAGAGCCACACTGCTACTCACAGAGCCACACAGCTACTCACAGAGCCACACAGCTACACACAGAGCCACACAGCTACACACAGAGCCACACAGCTACACACAGAGCCACTCTGCTACTCACAGAGCCACACAGCTACACACAGAGCCACACAGCTACACACAGAGCCACTCTGCTACTCCAGAGCCACACAGCTACACACAGAGCCACATACTACACACAGAGCCACACTGCTACTCACAGAGCCACACTGCTACACACAGAGCACACTGCTACACACAGAGCCACACTGCTACACACAGAGCCACACAGCTACACACAGAGCCACACTGCTACTCACACAGCCACACTGCTACACACAGAGCCACACGCTACACACAGAGCCACACTACTACACACAGAGCCACACTGCTACTCACAGAGCCACACTGCTACACACAGAGCCACACTGCTACACACAGAGCCACACAGCTACACACAGAGCCACACTACACACAGAGCCACACTGCTACTCACAGAGCCACACTGCTACACACAGAGCCACACTGCTACACACAGAGCCACACTGCTACACACAGAGCCACACTGCTACACACAGAGCCACACTGCTACACACAGAGCCACACTGCTACACACAGAGCCACACTGCTACACACAGAGCACACTGCTACACACAGAGCCACACTGCTACACACAGAGCCACACTGCTACACACAGAGCCACACTGCTACACACAGAGCCACACAGCTACTCACAGAGCCACAAGCTACTCACAGAGCCACACAGCTACACACAGAGCCACACGAGCAGCCACACACAGAGCCACACTGCTACTCACAGAGCCACACAGCTACACACAGAGCCACACGAGCAGCCACACACAGAGCCACACCGCTACTCACAGAGCCACACCGCTACTCACAGAGCCACACTGCTACTCACAGAGCCACACTGCTACACACAGAGCCACACTGCTACTCACAGAGCCACACTGCTACTCACAGAGCCACACTGCTACACACAGAGCCACTCTGCTACACACAGAGCCACACTGCTACTCACAGAGCCACACTGACACGCTACTCACAGAGCCACACTGCTACTCACAGAGCCACACTGCTACTCACGAGCCACACTGCTACACAGAGCCACACTGCTACTCACAGAGCCACACTGCTACTCACAGAGCCACACTGCTACTCACAGAGCCACACTACTACACACAGAGCCACACTGCTACTCACAGACCACGCTACACACAGAGCTACACTGCTACTCACAGAGCCACACTGCTACACACAGAGCCACACAGCTACTCACAGAGCCACACCGCTACACACAGAGCCACACCGCTACTCACAGAGCCACACAGCTACTCACAGAGCCACAGCTACACACAGCCACACACAGCCACACAGCTACACACAGCCACACACAGCCACACACAGCTACACACAGCTACACACAGCTACACACAGCTACACAGCCACACACAGCTACACACAGCTACACACAGCTACACAGCTACACACAGCTACACACAGCTACAGCTACACACAGAGCTACACAGCCACACACAGAGCCCACTGCTACTCACAGAGCCACACTGCTACTCACAGAGCCACTCAGCTACACACAGATACACAGCTACTCACAGAGCCACACTGCTACTCACAGAGCTACACAGCTACACACAGAGCCACAGCTACACACAGAGCCACACAGCTACACACAGAGCCACACAGCTACTCACAGAGCCACACTGCTACTCACAGAGCCACACTGCTACTCACAGAGCCACACTACTACTCACAGAGCCACACTGTTACACACAGAGCCACACTGCTACTCACAGAGCCACACTGCTACTCACAGAGCCATACTGCTACTCACAGAGCCACACTGCTACTCACAGAGCCACCAGCTACTCACAGAGCCACACAGCTACACACAGAGCCACACCGCTACTCACAGAGCCACACTGCTTAACACGAGCCACACTGCTACACACAGAGCCACACTGCTACTCACAGAGCCACACAGCTACACACAGAGCCACACAGCTACACACAGAGCCACACTGCTACTCACAGAGCCACACAGCTACTCACAGAGCCACACAGCTACACACAGAGCCACACAGCTACACACAGAGCCACACAGCTACACACAGAGCCACTCTGCTACTCACAGAGCCACACAGCTACACACAGAGCCACACAGCTACACACAGAGCCACTCTGCTACTCACAGAGCCACACAGCTACACACAGAGCCACACTACTACACACAGAGCCACACTGCTACTCACAGAGCCACACTGCTACACACAGAGCCACACTGCTACACACAGAGCCACACTGCTACACACAGAGCCACACAGCTACACACAGAGCCACACTGCTACTCACACAGCCACACTGCTACACACAGAGCCACACAGCTACACACAGAGCCACACTACTACCACAGAGCCACACTGCTACTCACAGAGCCACACTGCTACACACAGAGCCACACTGCTACACACAGAGCCACACTGCTACACACAGAGCCACACTGCTACACACAGAGCCACACTGCTACACACAGAGCCACACTGCTACACACAGAGCCACACTGCTACACACAGAGCCACACTGCTACACACAGAGCCACACTGCTACACACAGAGCCACACTGCTACACACAGAGCCACACAGCTACTCACAGAGCCACACAGCTACTCACAGAGCCACACAGCTACACACAGAGCCACACGAGCAGCCACACACAGAGCCACACTGCTACTCACAGAGCCACACAGCTACACACAGAGCCACACGAGCAGCCACACACGAGCCCACCGCTACTCACAGAGCCACACCGCTACTCACAGAGCCACACTGCTACTCACAAGCCACACTGCTACACACAGAGCCACACTGCTACTCACAGAGCCACACTGCTACTCACAGAGCCACACTGCTACACACAGAGCCACTCTGCTACACACAGAGCCACACTGCTACTCACAGAGCCACACTGACACCGCTACTCACAGAGCCACACTGCTACTCACAGAGCCACACTGCTACTCACAGAGCCACACTGCTACACACAGAGCCACACTGCTACTCACAGAGCCACACTGCTACTCACAGAGCCACACTGCTACACACAGAGCCACACTGCTACTCACAGAGCCACACTGCTACTCACAGAGCCACACTGCTACTCACAGAGCCACACTGCTACTCACAGAGCCACACTGCTACTCACAGAGCCACACTGCTACTCACAGAGCCACACTGCTACACACAGAGCCACACGAGCAGCCACACACAGAGCCACACAGCTACTCACAGATCCACACTACTACACAGAGCCACACTGCTACTCACAGAGCCACACAGCTACACACAGAGCTACACTGCTACTCACAGAGCCACACTGCTACACACAGAGCCACACAGCTACTCACAGAGCCACACCGCTACACACAGAGCCACACCGCTACTCACAGAGCCACACAGCTACTCACAGAGCCACACAGCTACACACAGCCACACACAGCCACACAGCTACACACAGCCACACACAGCCACACACAGCTACACACAGCTACACACAGCCACACACAGCTACACACAGCTACACACAGCTACACAGCTACACACAGCTACACACAGCTACAGCTACACACAGAGCTACACAGCCACACACAGAGCCACACTGCTACTCACAGAGCCACACTGCTACTCACAGAGCCACTCAGCTACACACAGAGCTACACAGCTACTCACAGAGCCACCTGCTACTCACAGAGCTACACAGCTACACACAGAGCCACACAGCTACACACAGAGCCACACAGCTACACACAGAGCCACACAGCTACTCACAGAGCCACACTGCTACTCAGAGCCACACTACTACTCACAGAGCCACACTGTTACACACAGAGCCACACTGCTTCTCACAGAGCCACACTGCTACACACAGAGCCACACTGCTACACACAGAGCCACACTGCTACTCACAGAGCCACACAGCTACTCACAGAGCCACACAGCTACACACAGAGCCACACAGCTACACACAGAGCCACACTACTACACACAGAGCCACATTGCTACACACAGAGCCACACTGCTACTCACAGAGCCACACAGCTACACACAGAGCCACACTGCTACACACAGAGCCACACTGCTACACACAGAGCCACACTGCTACACACAGAGCCACACTGCTACACACAGAGCCACACTGCTACACACAGAGCCACACTGCTACACACAGAGCCACACTGCTACACACAGAGCCACACAGCTACTCACAGAGCCACACAGCTACTCACAGAGCCACACAGCTACACACAGAGCCACACGAGCAGCCACACACAGAGCCACACTGCTACTCACAGAGCCACACAGCTACACACAGAGCCACACGAGCAGCCACACACAGAGCCACACCGCTACTCACAGAGCCACACCGCTACTCACAGAGCCACACAGCTACTCACAGAGCCACACTGCTACACACAGAGCCACACTGCTACTCACAGAGCCACACGAGCAGCCACACACAGAGCCACACTGCTACACACAGAGCCACACTACTACTCATAGAGCCACACGAGCAGCCACACACAGAGCCACACTGACACTCACAGAGCCACACTGACACCGCTACTCACAGAGCCACACAGCTACACACAGAGCCACACAGCTACACACAGAGCCACACTGCTACTCACAGAGCCACACAGCTACACACAGAGCCACACTGACACTCACAGAGCCACACTGACACGGATACTCACAGAGCCACGCCCGCCAACGCAGCAGCACGCTAACCGCACGGTCACCACACGCGCTACCTCGCACCCACGCACCACCACGCACTACCACGCGCTACCTCGCACTACCACGCACTACCACGCACCAACCACAACCCCACTCGCGCGCATCACCCCAACCCCCCTCTCCACCACCACAAGTGGCGCCGCTCTGCTCGACGGCGCCCCACACGGCCGATGAGCCTGCAGTGAGCGTCTGTGCCGGGCCTCTGCGCTGACCGCGTGTGTCATCGTGCTGCTGCTGCTGCTTCTACTGCTGCTGCTGCTACTGCTGCTGCTACTGCTGCTGTTGCTACTGCTACTGCTGCTACTGCTGCTGCTGCTACTGCTGCTGCTACTGCTGCTACTGCTGCTGCTGCTACTGCTGCTGCTACTGCTACTGCTGCTGCTACTGCTGCTGCTACTGCTGCTGCTGCTACTGCTGCTGCTGCTGCTGCTACTGCTGCTGCTACTGCTGCTGCTACTGCTGCTACTGCTACTACTGCTGCTACTGCTGCTGCTACTGCTGCTGCTACAGGGCATGCAGGAAGGCGAGGGGCTGGCTGCAGACGCTCCCGCTGAGAGCCAGCAGCAGCGGCAGCAGCAGCGGCAGGCGGCTTCCGCGCCCAGCGCCCCGGCCGCCTCGGGCACCACCAGCAGCAGCAGCACGGCGAGTACCGGTGGCACCGCGTCGCAGGGCTCCAGATCCGGTGAGGGGGTGTGTGGGGGTGTGTGTGTGTGTCTGTGTGAGTTCCATTCCCGCTCACTGCTAACTCCAGTGACGATTATCTGAACCGGTCCTGGGCCTCCCCTAGGTCCACTCAGCTTCAAACGAGTGCGCGGTGCGACGTGTAGTAAACATCGCCACTGGGGAGACAAAGCCGGCCGGCGTGGTGCTGGCCACCCGCCCCCTCGTGTGCCACGTGCCACTTGCCCCAACAATCTGCTGAAGGCTGCCCGGGGTGGACCTGCGTGTTTGTTGCAGGCAACCCGCTGGAGTACCTGCGGAACCAGGCACAGTTCCGCTACATGCGGCGCGCCGTGCAGCAGAACCCCGGCCTGCTGCCCGCCCTGCTGCAGGAGCTGGGCGTCCAGAACCCTCAGCTGCTTGCGGTGAGCGTCGCACACGCGTCGCACACGCGTCGCACACGCGTCGCACACGCGTCGCACACGCATCGCACACGCATCGCACACGCGCGTCGCTCACACGCGTCGCACACGCGTCGCACACGCGTCGCACACGCGTCGCACACGCATCGCACACGCGCGTCGCTCACACGCGTCGCACACGCATCGCACACGCATCGCACACGCATCGCACACGCGCGTCGCTCACACGCGTCGCACACGCGTCGCACACGCGTCGCACACGCGTCGCACACGCATCGCACACGCGCGTCGCTCACACGCGTCGCACACACATGTCGCACACACGTCGCACATGCGTCGCTCCCACGCGTCGCCCACGCAACAACACGATTAGCAAATCGCAAAGGCAGCGATTTTTTTTTTCCGATTTGAAAAGTCCCCTTTCTTCTTGGATTTTTTTTTGTTATCATAACTTTTTTTGATTCAACTTAACAATTGTTCTATGTTTGATTGTTCTATTTCAATTAAAAATTTAAATTATCATCCTTGCATTAGAATATATAGTGCAGTTCATATGTTGATGGTATCACGTGGTAATGCTCCATCACGTGTTTTAAATCTATTACACAGTGAATATTCAACTGCAGCTTGACTTCAAAACATTTATTCGCGAATCAAATCGCAATATCTGTCAGAAAATAATCGCAATTGCATCTCTTCCCCAAGTCGTTGAGCCCTGCTCTGCACGTTTTGCACGTTTTGCTTGCGGCCTAGCAGGAGATCAGCCAGTACCAGGAGGAGTTCATCCACATGCTCAACGAGCCGGGCGAGGAGGGCGCCGAGGAGCCCGGCGCCGACGAGCCGGGCGCAGACCGGCCGCAGGTCATCCAGGTCACGCCCGACGAGATGGACGCCATCGAGAGGGTAATGCCGCCGTGTGGGAGCGCGCGAGCGTGCGCTGCTTCTGCTGCTGCTGCTGTGTTTGTGCATGTGTGCTGCTGCTGGTGCTGTGTTTGTGTGTGCTGCTGCTGCTGCTGTGCTTGTGCATGTGTGCTGCTGGTGCTGTGTTTGTGTGTGTGCTGCTGCTGCTGCTGTGTTTGTGCTGCTGCTGCTGCTGCTGTGCTTGTGCATGTGTGCTGCTGCTGGTGCTGTGTTTGTGTGTGTGTGCTGCTGCTGCTGCTGTTTTGTGCATGTGTGCTGCTGCTGCTGCTGTGCTTGTGCATGTGTGCTGCTGCTGGTGCTGTGTTTGTGTGTGTGCTGCTGCTGCTGCTGTGTTTGTGTGTGTGCTGCTGCTGCTACTGCTGCTGTGCTTGTGCATGTGTGCTGCTGCTGGTGCGCGGGCCCGGGTAAAACTACGTGGCCGGGAGTCGGAGCCGTTCCCTGTACACCTTGGGGTGCGACAGGGATGTCCCTGGCTCCCACATTATTTAACATCTATTTTGACCGCGTTGTTCGTGAAGCCTTCAATGGCTGTACCGGGGGAATTTCCATTTGGTACAGATATAATGGGAGGCTGATCGATGCCCGGGTGCGGTCAAGGGATGGCTCCCTATTGGTAAACCACGTTATGTATGCCGATGATTTGGTAATTGCTGCTCATTCAGAAGAGGAGTTGGAGGCGCTGCTGATGAACCTGGAGCGTGCCACTAAGAGGTGGGTGGGGCCTTACCATCAGCCCCACCAAAACTAAGCACCTGCCTGGGTATTTTGTACCATCGGACACTCCACCCCCACAACTCCCAATCGGTGATGGGGCAGTAGTGGAGAGAGTGGAGAGTTTTCCATACTTGGGCAGTGTGCTTATGACCGGCTCCAGTTTAACAGCAGAGGTCTCACTCCGAATCAGTCGAGCGGCATTGTCTTTTCATCGGTTGCGTAACGCTGTGTAGAAGCTACCTGGATTGTCGCTCCGCACGAAGCTTCAGGTCTTCTCGGCCACAGTCATTCCTTCCCTTCTCTACGCTTGCGAAACGTGGACCCCCCTAATAGAGCATCTTCGCCGGTTGGAAACATTTAGGCTGGCCTGCCTACGATCCATCCTGGGTTTAACCAGGCTGGATTGTGTGAGGAGCTCACAAATCCTTGAAAGATCTGGGCAAAGTCCCATCGGTGAGCTCCTCCGGCAGGCAAGGCTGCGTTGGCTGGGTCATGTAGCCCGCATGCCCAGCCACCGCATGCCTAAACAGCTTTTGTTCGGCCGGATAGAGGGGCTAAACGGGCCCGGCACGGGCTAGAGAAGAGATGGAGTTATGTGGTACGGGAGGACGTGGAGCTGAGTGGACTTGCCGATGACTATACCAGCGGTGTCAAGATCGGCCTCTGTGGAGGAGGCTCGTGAAGGACACTACTGGGCAGTTGGAGGCAGTCGCCCTCCAACAACAACGGAGGGCGGAGGAGCGACGCTCACAACCACGAGCGGAGTGCCCGGTGGCTAAAGCACAGCAAGTTGGTACAGTAGGGGGCACAGGTGGTGCATCAGCCAGTCATCTCGGTCATCTCAGTCAGTCGACCCGTGGCACCTGCTGGGTCTGCCCCGTGACCTCCTGCCAGCGGGCATTCGACACTTCATGTGGCCTCAAGGTGCACTTGGCCTGGCACAAGCGTCGTGGTGACGTCACCGCCACTTAGTGGCGAATGGCGGTTGTTGTGCTGCTGTGTGTGTAGCAGTGTGTGTGTGCTGCTGCGTGTGTGCTGCTGCTAACAGTGTGTGTGTGTGTGCTGTGTGTGTGTGCTACTGTGTCTGTGTGCTGCTGCTGACACTGTGTGTGTGTGTGCTGCTAACACTGTGTGTGCGCTGTGTGTGTGTGCTGTGTGTGTGCTACTGTGTGTGTTGCTGCTGCTAACACTGTGTGTGTGCGCTGTGTGTGTGTGTGTGCTGTGTGTGTGTGCTGCTGCTGACACTGTGTGTGTGCTGCTAACACTGTGTGTGTGCGCTGTGTGTGTGTGTGCTGTGTGTGTTGCTACTGTGTGTGTGTGCTGCTGCTGACACTGTGTGTGTGCTGCTAACACTGTGTGTGTGCGCTGTGTGTGTGTGTTGCTGTGTGTGTGTGTGTAGCAGTGTGTGGTGTGCTGCTGCTAACACTGTGCTGTGTGTGTGTGTGTGCTGACACTGTGTGTGTGCTGCTGTGTGTGTGAGCAGCTCATGGGCCTGGGCTTTGAGCGGCGCCTGGCGATGGAGGCCTACTTTGCCTGCGACAAGAACGAGAACCTGGCGGCAAACTTCCTCCTACAGCACATCGTGGACGACGACTGAGTCCACCATCGCCCCTCCCTCCCCCATCGCCCCCCCCCTCTCTGCCTCCCTCCCCTCCCCATCGCCCTCATCGCCCCCATCGCCCCCCCCCCCCTCTCATGCTCCCTCCCCGACGCCGCCCCGCAGAGCACACACGCCCACGGCCCTTCTCTCTCCCCTTCACGGCCACCGCCACCATCGTCGTCACCACCACCACCGCCATCACCGCCACCACCACCACCACCGCTAGCACCACCATCATCGTAATCACCACCACCGCCATCACCGCTAGCACCACCATCACTGCCACCGTCACCACCACCACCACCACTAGCACCACCATCGTCGTCGTCACCACCATCACTGCCACCGTCACCACCACCACCACCGCTAGCACCACCATCATCGTCACCGCCGCTGCCACCACGATCACCGCCACCACCAGTGCCATCATCGCCGTCGGCGCCACCGGGCACGGCTGCGTTGCACCGTCACCACGAGCAAGTGCTGCTGAAGCGTCGGGCCGGAAGAGGGCGTGGCCAAGTGGGGGAGGGGGGGGGGTCACTCGCGCGGGGGGGGGGGGTCACTCACGCAAGGGGTCACTCCCGCAAGGGGTCACTCCCGCAAGGGTCACTCCCTCTCGGCGTTTTCCCGTGGAGCACGTCAACGGGACGACGCGCGTTGACAGGGTGGCGCGCGTTGATGGTGGCGTGTGCTGCCAATCGCCGTGACTGGGGGACGCTGCTCGTTCGGTTAGAACCCACCCAGCCCCCCCCCCCTGGTAGCTAATGAACTAATCTGCTTGCGTGGTGACCTCTGACCCTGCCCCCTCCGCGGCGCTGGGGAGGCCCTCTTCCGGCCGCACGTCTAGGTCCAGGACGCCGGGCCGAGTGGCTTCGCCCAAATCCTAAATGGGATTTTCGTATTTCCCCCCCCCTCCTCTCTGGTTCATAAACATTCTGCATCGCGTCACAACGGCCCCCTGTCCCAGGCCAGCCCCACGCAGGGAGACGGCGACGATCGCGTGGCGCTCGAATTTGATGAAACAAAAACATTTCAAGAGCCGCGACGCTCGTGGTGACTAGGCCGCTCAACTCGCCGGCCAGCCGGGACCCCAAGAACCGCCTCCAAGTCCCTGAGCACCGCGTGCAGCGCATACCCCCACACCGCCCCCCCCCTTCTCCCGTCACCTAAAGCCCCCCCCCCCCCCCCCCCGGCGTGACGGCCCCGACCACTTAACCCCCACCCCCTCCCCGCCCCGTAAGCTTATTATGCAAAGGTGGAGAGGCAAGCGGAGAGCGTCGTTGGCGTGGGGTTTGTTCCGCTACGTTTCCTTGTTAAAGCGTCGGCGTCGTCGTCACCGTCGGCGTCGTCGTCACCGTCGTCACCGTTGTCACCGTCACCGCCGTCACCGCCGCCGCGTTGCGTGACCGGGCCGAGCGCCGATTTTGCCGCGGCCGGCGATACGGCAAAGTTCCCCGCGGCGCTGCGTTGTGCCACCTGGACCGGCGGGCGGGCGGAGCGGAGGTGGTGCTCGGGCCGGGGCTGGGTGGGGCCGAGCTGGGTGGGGCCGGGCTGGGTGGGGCCGGGCTGGGTGGGGCCGGGCTGGGTGGGGCCGGGCTGGGTGGGCCGGGCTGGGTGGGGCTCGCGAGTTGGGGTTGTTTGTGGGTTTTGGTGTCAATGGTGGGGGGGGCGGTGGGTAGTGACTGGGTGGCGTTGGCGTTAGGGCTGTAGCAGTGGACGTCATGGGTGTGGGTTGGTCTCGGTGACTTGCGACTTGGTGTTAGTGGCAGAGTGGCTCTGCTTGCTACTTGACTGGGGTTCGGCTGAGTGCTCGTGGTTGGTTGGGTAGTTTCCCAGGGTTATGGGTAGCGCTAGTGACTTGGGGTAGTTGGGGTTATGGGTAGCGCTAGTGACTTGGGGTAGTTGGGGTTATGGGTAGCGCTAGTGACTTGGGGTAGTTGGGTTATGGGTAGCGCTAGTGACTTGGGGTAGTTGGGGTTATGGGTTGCGCTGGTGACTTGGGATAGTTGGGGTTATGGGTAGTGCTGGTGACTTGGGGTAGTTGGGGTTATGGGTTGCGCTAGTGACTTGGGATAGTTGGGGTTATGGGTAGTGCTGGTGACTTGGGGTAGTTGGGGTTATGGGTAGCGCTAGTGACTTGGGATAGTTGGGGTTATGGGTAGTGCTGGTGACTTGGGGTAGTTGGGGTTATGGGTAGCGCTGGTGACTTGGGTAGTTGGGGTTATGGGTAGCGCTAGTGACTTGGGGTAGTTGGGGTTATGGGTAGCGCTGGTGACTTGGGGTAGTTGGGTTATGGGTAGCGCTGGTGACTTGGGGTAGTTGGGGTTTGGGTAGCGCTGGTGACTTGGGGTAGTTGGGTTATAGGTAGCGCTAGTGACTTGGGGTAGTAGGGTTATGAGTAGCGCTAGTGACTTGGGGTAGTTGGGGTTATGGGTAGCGCTAGTGACTTGGGGTAGTAGGGTTATGGGTAGCGCTGGTGACTTGGGGTAGTTGGGGTTATGGGTAGCGCTAGTGACTTGGGGTAGTTGGGGTTATGGGTAGCGCTAGTGACTTGGGGTAGTTGGGTTATGGGTAGCGCTAGTGACTTGGGGTAGTTGGGGTTATGGGTAGCGCTAGTGACTTGGGGTAGTAGGGTTATGGGTAGCGCTGGTGACTTGGGGTAGTTGGGGTTATGGGTAGCGCTAGTGACTTGGGGTAGTTGGGGTTATGGGTAGCGCTAGTGACTTGGGGTAGTTGGGTTATGGGTTGCGCTGGTACCAGTGGCTGCGGTGATCAGGGCTAGAATCTAGTTGGCTGTTCCGCTCACGAAGTTCTCTCTCCACCACCCCCACGGTAACGCACGGAAACCTCTCGCTCACCCACCCACCTGCCCGCTCGCCCGCCCTCTCGTCCGCTCGCTCGCTTACCCGCTCGCCCGCCCACCCGCTCGTCCACCCGCTCGTCCACCCGCTCGCCCGCTCGCTCGCCCTCCGATGACCTTTTCTGGTGTCCCAGGATCCCAGCGGTCCCAGGCCGTGGTCACGCAGCAGTCGCAGCGTAAATACAACAACTACAACAACAACAACTACAACAACAACTACTACTACTACACTCGCGCGTGACGATAAATAATAAAAGAGAGAGTTGTTATTTACAGCGAGCCTCGCCGGCTGGTTTGTGTCTCTGCCTTCTGTTGTGAGTGGCGCTGGTGGTGGGGGGGGGGGTGGATTGGGGGGGGGGGTGAGGACCGTGGGGGGTGGGGGGGTGAGGACTGGTGGGGGGGGTGACGGTGTGGGGCCTCACGGCCGCCCAGGGTCCAGCAAGGGGGTTGGGGGGGCAGCACCTAATGTCCCGCGTGGCCAGAGATGTTAACTACCTCGCCTGGTCTACAGGAGGTCGTGGGTTCAATCCCGACCCTGACTATGCCTGCTGCTGCTGCTGTAGATTTGGAGTTTGCGTGTCTCTCTCTCATCATCATCACCACGGTGGCTAGGAGATGTTAACTACCTCGCCTGGTATACAGGAGGTCGTGGATTCCATTCCGATCCGGACCCTGACGATGCCTGCTGCTGCTGTAGATTTGGAGTCTCTCATCATCATCACGGTGACTAGGAGATGTTGACTACCTCGCCTGGTCTACAGGAGATCGTGGGTTCCATCCCGACCCTGACGACGCTTGCTGCTGCTGCTCTACATTTCCACGTGAGAACGTCCAAGCCACTGGAAGAAAGAAACCAGCGCTACGTATCTCAGTGGATGCTTTCCCGTCAAATCAACGAGAGTTTCAAGGGCCCACTTGCTCGGGGCCTCCCACAAACAGCGGCATCACAACAGCCCGGCTTCATTTGTCGATATCACTGGTCAACAACAAAACAACATTTTTTTCTGGCCTGGACTTTTGCAGCTGTTCTAGACTAATTTCAGGGTGCTGATTCCAAATCTGATCTCAGATTTGCTCTATCACATCTCAACTTTATGCTATCGGCATACCCCATTTTCATTGATTTTACACTTGTGATTGCAAGTTGTTGCGAGTCAGTGACTGCTTTAGTGTTAAATATGGTGCTGTATTTTTAGGATAATGTGTTTAAATATCATTTTATGTAGATATCCACATTTATTTAATATTTTTCTTCTGCAGTTTGTATTGAAAATGCAATATTTGATATCTCAAAAACCTGATGTGATAGACAAAAACTGATGCCAGATTTGGAATCGGCACCCCAAAATTGCCTTAAACCCGTTGTAATACCTCATGCCAGAAAAGTGTGTTGACCAGTGTAATGAAGATGGATCGGGGCTGGTGGTGGTGGTTGTGCCACGTGGCATTGCGCCCCGGGGCCTTCTGGGAACCTCAGGGCCGGCCCCGTTCGGCCGTCACGTGGCCCTGGAGTCGGAGCCACTTTGCGCGTTCAGGCGTCAGCAGCAGCAGCAGCGGATTGATTTGTGCCGACATCGGCACCGACTGTGCTCTGTTGAACTTCCACGCCTGGGTTTCATCTCCACCAGCACTGGTTCTTAACCTGTAGGGGGCGGGCTGGAGGGGAGGGGGCGAGACATTGGGCAGGTAATATTTTTGAAGGTAAATAATCGACGGCACAAATCAAGCAACGCGGGCACGTCAAGGCACAAACTTGCTTCGTTTCATCAGCGCCGATCTATTTAGGAGCAAAACTGTTTATTTTTATTTTTTTACGATGAGAACCAAAATGGTGCAGACTGCAGTCAAAGATTAAGAACCGCTGGTCCACATGTCCTGTGACCCCCCATTTAATTATGTAAAACTGAGTTTCTGCGTGTTTTAAAAAAGGAAAGTTTATTTAAAAACAGAAATGAATATGCAAAGGAAAAATGTTCGGGGGGGGGGGGGTGGGGTCACAAGACACCCAGACCTACACTGCACAGTG